GGGATTTAATGCAACTTATAACATGCTAAATACAAAAAAATTGAAATTGTGAATATGATTAAATTTAAACAAGACGCCTATTCGGGCGTTAACTCCGGCGCACGTGCCAGTCTTTAATATAGAGCTTGTGAACATAAACAATACAGTTCATATTCGCATTTAGATGTCTTGCAAACCTAAATGTTCTATCGCGAAATTCAGAAGCGCATCGCTCTTTAAAAAGCATAGAAGTTCAATTGTTCAAAAATGTAAATAAACCAGGCGCATGATATACATTTGCTTTGTCTTACACTTTGGCTTTGGAATTCGTGCTTATATAGTTATATTAAATCTTCAATCCTGTGCAAACTACAACGTGTCAACGCGCCCATACACGACCACATCATCTTGTTAAACGCCGAAATAGCAGCCATATTATTAAAACAGGACAAGAATCTACATGTATTAAATATATTCTTACCTCAATTCAATCTAAACTTAATCGAACAGCATGAAAACCACGGTTTATATGTTCTTCTTGGATGAATTGCCGTATCATGCGAGCGAAATCGAATCGCGCATCGGAAAATTAGCCAAAGCTGTGCACCACAACTCTTGGGAGATAAAACTGGGACGTAATTACAATAATAGATAATTACGATTACATACACATTTCAAATAGTAGAAAGTTTCGCACCATTTCAGACTTGCGACGACGAAAAATAAAAAAAAACCAAAAAAAACCGGGGAGAATTTTCAACTCCGTCGCTGGCGCCGGAGTAATTAGCCTTGTTATTGCTTCGAAAGAAAATGGTACAGCTGACCGCAGAACAACGAGTGTTTATTGTGATATTATCCCAAAAGAGTGCTTAGGCATTCAAACTCTAACATTTACATTATTATTGGTGATTTCAATAGTTTTCTTTTTATGAGACACCTTGTAGTTTTATTATAATACTAATATAATGGTTCAGTTGTTTTGCTTATCGCTAATTCCCTCTACCTGGAGGAGGGATAGATGGGTATTTCATCGCAAAAATCGGTCAAATTAAATGACATGACACCAACGCACAAATCCTCGATCGTTTACAGTAATTTTAAGGTATTATCGTGCGCACCTGTTTGCGTTAAAATATCAATTTCCTGTCTGCTGTAAATAACACTAAGCGGTCGCATCCACGTCGTGGATTATAGACTGATGCAATTTAAACTTGCTATTGTGAATGACTGTGACCGTCCAACTTTGAAATATCTCGTAAGAAAAGTATTCTTCCGTTGACGAGTTTCCGCATAGCAACCTAAAAATGTATAGCTAGTTAATTATCGGGAACGCATAGCGAGCAAGCATCAAAGAAGTCAACATTTGAATGTTCCTAAAAATCGGCTGGTCACTAGCTTTAAGATCGATGCATCACCATCGTATTTAGTCATCGATTTCTCGAATAAACTCAAAGACTTAGCTACATACGGTGGCGTATGGGAGACGATAATTAAGATTGGGGGCACATATTCATATAATTATTCTTGTTAACAGATCTGTAAGGACAATGGATTTGAAAAGAAATTAATCTTGCACACCATGAATATATACCACTTATTAACCGAATTTGAGGTCCGTACTAGAAAAATATCAGACCGAGGTCTTGACAGTACGGACCGAGCGATAGCGAGGTCCGTACATAAAAGACCGAGGTCTGATATTTTTCCAGTGCGGACCTCAAATTCGGTTAATAAGGGATTTATTATATGGCATACAGTATTATTTTAGTTTATTTTTTTATACAATGCGCTGAAGCATTCTTGCCGGCTCTTTCGCCAGCCTGTCGCCATGCAAGCACTAAAGTGGCTTACAAAACTTTGTTTTTTACTCGTTAAATAAGAAATGATATTATGATACAGTAATATAAACAAAAATCAAAGATGAATAAGTATAATATTCACATGTACTAAATAATTAATGCTCTTCTTCGTCCGTTCTCCGTCGATATTTTTCGTGTCAAAAATAAAAGTGCAAGCTTGTTTTTGTTCAAAAATACGAGAGTTGGACCGTTACTACGGCAACGGTCTAATACTGGGGGATTCCAGACCGGCAAAGAACCAATCAGCGCACGCCATTTTAGTCACGAGACCGCGTGCCATATAATAAATATGAATATTGACCATGTATTACAAGGCCAATTACAGAGCTTATTCCTGTTGTATCAGCAAATGAGTTGAAGGTCACTATGTAATAATACATTATTTTCAGTCTATATATCGTACTGAGCACTAATGTATGCTATTTTTAAAGGTCCTGCATGAACTTGATATTGACACACTATAAATAATTATTATAAACCATGCATGTACAAATATGATTATTTTGCACAATTGATTTAATCTGTATCCCCGCGATGTTCAGTTTTTCAACCAAATGTTAGCAAGAAACTACGTCGAAAAATGGGTCATCAGAGTTTTCAGACCTGACATAAAGCTAATTTGTATAATTTATTATTTAGGTTACATGGGATGGACCATGGTGTTAAAATGAATCACTATCTGAAATGTTATGCATAAAAAATGTCCGACAGGGAAGTGTGACGCTGTCATGGTTCAACTCATCTGGCAACTATACAACAACATCCCTTTATATGTCTGTGGACAGGTTAATATATCTTCTCCGATGCAATTCACTTCGGACGAACGAATTGTATATTATAGTCTGGTCCCGCATGCAATAGTATAGTAGCTATAATATGAATGTAACACGTTTATAGTTTCAAAAACGAGGACAAAACTATATTATAATAGTCATCACCTGAAGAAGAATACCATAAGGTTTACTGCATGTAGATATAGTTTTATTATAATACTAATATAATGGTTCAGTTGTTTTGCTAATCGCTAATGGCCCTCTACCTGGAGGAGGGATAGATGGGTATTTCATCGTAAAAGTCGGTCAAATTAAATGACATGACACCAACGCACAAATCCTCGATCGTTTACAGTGATTGTAATTAGTACTTATCAGGATTGTCATTTGGTATTACCGTGCGCACCTGTTTGCGCTAAAATATCAATTTCCTGTCTGTTGTAAATAACACTAAGCGGTCGCATCCACGTCGTGGATTATAGACTGATGCAATTTAAACTCGCTATTGTGAATGACTGTGATCGTCCAACTTTGAAATATCTCATAAGAAAAGTTTTCTTCCGTTGACGTATTTCCGCATAGCAACCTAAAAATGTAGAGCTAGTTAATTATCGGGAACGCACAGCGAGCAAGCATCAAAGAAGTCAACATTTTAATTTTCCTAAAAATCGGCTGGTCACCAGCTTAAAGATCGATGCATGACCATCTTATTTAGATATCGATTTCCCGAATAACCTCAAAGACTTAACTAAATACAGTGGCGTACGGAAGACAATAATTGGGGTTGGGGGAACATATTCATATAATTATTCTTGTTAAAGGCCGGCGCACACTAGAGCTATGTGCTTAGCAAAAAGTCAATCGTCATCCCAGCCAAAAGTCGCCGGAAATGTCGCCCGCACACGAGAGCAACTGGCTTACGCCAATGGCCAAGAACGACTTTTTGCTAAGCACATAGCTCTAGTGTGCGCCGGCCTTAACAGATCTGGAAGGACAATGGATTTGAAAGGAAATTAATCTTGCACACTATGAATATATATGAATTTTGGCAATCTATTACAAGGTCAATTACAGAGCTTATTCCTGTTATATCAGCAAACGAGTTGAAGGTCACTATGAAATAACAGATTATTTTTCTATTTATCGTACTGAGCACTAATGTATGCTCTTTTTAAAGGTCCTGCTGAGCTTGATATTGACACACTATAAAAATTAAAAACAATGCATGTACAATTATTATTTTGTATAGTGGAATTAATCATCCGCGCGCTGTTGAGTTTTTAGCACAATTGTTAGCAGGAAACTGCGTCGAAAAAGCTGCCAAAGTAAGTCAATGAGTATAATTTTGGATGAAAGATAGATGCGCAAGTCAATATCAATGTATCGGGTACTAAATGATTATATTCAACACCGAATTTCAAAATCTTGTACATTGGGATTGAGAAACCTGCAATCTGAGAAATAGATCTAATGATTTGGCTCTAGTAATAGCGAGAAGGGAATTTCTTGAAAAAGTTTGAAATATAGTGGGGCGAAACTTTGGAATTGGCGTTCCCTGGGGGCTAAGTTAGCTACATCTGAACATGTCTTTTAAAATAGTAATAAGTTTTCGGTCGCACACACACACTAAATAGCGTGATGTATGTTCAAACAAAATGCGCCATACAGTCAGATACCTTTTCATCTAGATACCTCTGCGGCTCAGTGGCAAGAGCATATTGCACCGGTATCGCAAAAGCGTATGATCCTGGTTTGAATTTGAAGTATGTGTAATTCCCCTCGAAATTAAGACCCTTTGAACCTATAGAATTTTTCCTGCATCGGATGAGCGCCAAAAATCATTATTGATTTACCCTAATCTATATAACACCATATTTTTTTGTTGTGCTTCAAAATCAGTACAGACTAGGGCTAATCTTAAACCACATTGATCACCGTAATTCAAGAATTAGCTATATATACAGGCATGCAGATAGAGAAAATTGTTGATTATTAAATATCAGCTGTATGATATTAGATAATGAACCGTTAATGATCTATATATAATAATATGATCTATATAATAATTATATTTCAGCTGAGCCTAATTACCATAGCAGGTAATTATTATATGAAGTGCGATCAGAGTGACTGTAAAATCGAAAGAATTGATCCAGTGGGGTCTAATAAAAAATATTTAAATAGTAACGTAGAGACAATGAACTAAGATATTTTATTTAAATTCCGCAATAGACCCTTCTTATAATGACGTGAAACGCGGAAAATCTGATGTTACACGAAATTTGATTGGCTCAACAAAACTATCGAGCCAATCAAACTTCGTGCAACATCAAACTTTCTGCGTTTCACGTCACTATTAAAAGGTCTGTTAAAGAGCTTATCAGTTAATTCTTGTTCACGACCCAGACCGGCAAAGTCAAGATACAAGCAAACGAGTTGAAGGTAAGTCACTATGTAATAACACATTTCTATAATACTGTACAGAGCGCTCTTTTTAAAGGTCCTGCATGAACTTAATATTGACACACTGTATTACTATTATAATATTGAGTATTTAGCACAGTGGATTTAATTATCCCCGCGCAGTTGAATTTTTTACACAATTGTGAGCAAGAAATTAACTGCGTCGAAAAATTGGCCATCAGTTTTTTCAGTTACATGCATGTGATTGGCCAGAGTTTTAAAATGAAGCAGCATCTGAACTGTCATGCATAAAAAAATGTCCGACAGGGAAGTGTGACACTGTCATGGTTCAGGCAACTCATCTGGAAACTATACAACAACATCCCCTTTTATAAGTCTGTTGACAGGTTACTATATCTTCTCCGATGCAATTCACTTCGGACGAACGAATTGTGTATTATTCTCTGGTTGCGCATCTAATAGCATGTGACTATATGTAACAAACTTTTGTTTTTTAAAACGCGGACAAAACTATATTATAAAAGTGATCACCTGAAGAGGAATACATAAGGTTTACTGTGTAATTTATGTCGGTGTATTATCATACTAATATAATGGTTCAGCCGTTGTTTGGCCGTAATTCCATGGCTGTCAGAATACGGCTTACGTAACTCAGCGTTGAGCAAAAACTACAAGAGGTACAAAAATAAAGACTGTGTTGGCACTCCGTCTGTACTCATCCAACGAATAAATAATTGAAAGAAATGAATGTTTTATTTCGTTTTCTGTAATGCTCAATGTGTATTTGCATGGTGAGGCCGACATTACATAGTTTTGTATAACAAGTATGTAATACACTCTTTCGAACTTAAAGTTTTATTAAATTTGTCTTGGTACGTCAGATAGGCAAATAAACTTTCGCTAAAACGGTAGCCCTGTATCTGGAGGAGAAAGAGCTGTGTATTTCATTATTATAGTTGGTCAAATTACGTCACATGACACCACCGCTCAAATCCTCGCAATTAAATTGGTATGACCGTGCGTACCTGTTTACAAATTTACTGAAATATCAATTTCCTGTTTGTTGTAAATAACATTAAGCGTTCACATCCCCGTCGTGGATTAGACTGATGCAATTTAAACTCGCTATTGTGAATGACTGTGACCGCCCAACTTTTAAATATCTCATAAAAAAATCCCAATTCTTCCGTTGACGTATTTCCGCATAGCACCCGAAAAATGTTGAGCTAGCCGGTTAATTAAGGGAAAGCACAGGGAGTAAGCATTGAAGAACATTTTGATCTTCCTAAAAATCGGCTGGTCGCTCGCTTTATAGGCGATAATTGGGGAGGAATGGTACATATTCATATAATCATGTTAACAGACCTGTAAGGACAGTGGATTTGAAACGGTATCTGTACTGTTATGCATAAAAAAGTGACCGACAGGGAAGTGTGACGCTGTCATGGTTCAACTAATCTGCAAACTATACAAGAACATCCCCTTTTATAAGTCTGTGGACACGTTACTATATTTTCTCCGATGCAATTCAATTCGGACGAACGAATTGTATATTACAGTCTGGTCGCGTATGCAATAGTATAATTATGAAACACACTTGATTATTAAATATCAGCTGTATAGCTTAATAAAGAACCCTTTATAAATATTAAGGATAATGTTCAAGAAGTTCTACTGAAACGATTATAGTTTCTTGTCAAAATACTTTTATGTAATTCAATGCAATATCAATTAATTATCAATTCAAAAGTAATATCAATTTCCTGTTTGCTGTAAATAACACTAAGCGGTCACATCCACGTCGTGGATCTACTGTGAATGAAATATCCGCCGAACTTTGAAATGTCTCGTAAAAACTATTCCTCCGTTGACGAATTTCCACATAGCAACCGAAAAATGTAGAGCTAGTTAATTATCGGAAACAAATAGTGAGCAAGCATGGAAAACATTTTAATGTTTCTAAACATCAGTTGGTCTCTATATGCATCGCCATCTTTATATAATTAGCCATCGGTTTCTTGAATAATCAAAGATTTTACATACTTACAGTAGCGTACCGGAGACGACGACTGCGCTTTAGATTAATTCTTGAAAAAATGAATCATCACAGCTAGAAAGCTCTTATACTTTGTTAGGGTAAATGCAAGCTTTGGCTGCGAAATATTGTAAAATAGGGAAAATATAGCCATGGGAAGTTGGTAAATTTTGTATTCTTTTGCATTTGTGCGGAAATGTGTAAATAATTTAGTTACAAACTTGCGGTCGTAATACAAGAGTATATACAAAATTCGTAAACTTCGCACGGCAATATTTTCCGAAAATTAAAACTTTTCGGAGCCGAACTTGGCAGTTTTATTAAACGGGGTAAGAAATTAGTCTAAAGTGCAAGTTGTCCATGGCACATATCCATATATTCATGTTACAGACCTGTAAAACAATTAATCTTGCAGAACATGAATATAAATTATGAGTATGTGCTCCCGCAATTATCGTATCCCGTACGCCATTGCATACTTATGCTTTATATTTTTAATATTTTGTAGTAATGGTTGCTTTCACAGCGACTCGACTTCTCTGTGGCCTAGTATTCACACTAGGTAAGTAGTTTTTGCTTCCTTGATTTCTTCTTGTACTTTGTTTGTGCATGAAATCAGAATCGAATATATGTGGCTGCGATGTCGCATTTAGTTTTTGGTGTTACCAACTGCTTTAAGGCAGAAAACTGCGACAAGTTGGCGCCTTTTCTAATCCGTTACGTACTTACATTACATAAAACCACATTATTTGTCCACAATAAAAGCCCAACAAAACGTCAAAGAAGGCGCATGAGTACAATCAACTTCATATATAATTACAGCGCTCCGATTAAAGTTGCGTACTATAACTTGGCACAAACGTCTTCAACCAGACAATCGTCAGAGTTCGCACCTGCTTGTTCAATGCTAACCAAGTTCCGTTGAACTGTAGAAATTTGGTGGATTATTATTGATGTTGTTAAACGGAACAAGTGGGTGGGTTGAGTTGAGTCCACAATTTAGATTCGGCAGACGACATTTAATAAAATTAGAGTGCTTCAAGGTTCGAATGGATATTGAGTCACGTTCGGGAGTTATATATTTAATTTTCATTTGATGCTTAACTCTTAAAAGTAAATAGCGTGCTTGAGTATCGTTAACATGATTTAAATTCTTAACCTGTCATTCACATTTGATCGAGCAATCAGTTTTGACGTCACGGATTAATAATTATATAAAATTTATGAGACCTGGTATACACTGAATTATTGTAATCAATCTGATTATGCATGATCGCGACATTCTCTCGAGTTATTTTAACATCGCGCCGACTTTCGGTTTGAAGATGTTATAGTCTTCAGATTATGTCTTGTTTTGTATTTTGTGAAATTGTCAGATGCAGGCATTGGTTTCTTATCTCGCTTGTGTCCTATTAATTTTTCTGTCATAGAGTCATAGTAAGTAAGCGTAACATCGTGTACCTTTTTGTCAAGATATTAAAGTGTACTTCATTGTATGAACTATAATATAAATCGGGATTTGTCTTTCTTCTTTTAAAGGTACCGCCACGTCTTTAACAACACCAGGTAAAACTTCCTATTTCTTTATGAAAAGTAGCTCTTGAAATTAAATCAAACTTGAAATAGCGTTTTCATTGCAATACATTATTTCTCTCTTTTCTTTCAGGTCCATGTGGTAATAACCATCTGTATACTCCTGCTACACTTAAAAGTCCTCTTTATCCCAGTTACTACCCTAACTCTATAGACTGCAACTGGACTATTTCTGACACCAATGGATCAAGGATTCTGTTAACGTTTTCATCTTTTTCGGTAGGTCATAATTAGGTAACTCTCTCAAAGCTTGACCCCACCAGTGGAATAAAACTTCCTTTTAATGTACTGAAATACGGCCAGCAAAGTAGTTTTATTTTTGTTTCACTTTTAGTTGGAAAGTCATTCACGTTGTAAATATGATTACTTGGACGTTTATGATGGTGACTCCTCGTATGCTCAAAAACTTGGGCGATATTGTGGAAACCAATTAAAACTAAGTCTGACATCATCTGGATCCCACCTCTTTATTGCGTTCCACTCGGATGGTAGTCATCAAAAAGAAGGATTTGTTTTGAATTTCTCAAATAAAATTGGTAAGTTTTACGTAGAAAGTTAACGCTAATGACGAACATTGAAAACGCATACATGTAAACAATCTGATTTTTCAATAATATAGTGTTCGATCATGCATCGATGATATCATTCACTAATTAGACAATTAAAGCCATGCTGTTTCCATAGTAACCGGATTTTTAAAATTTTTCTAGTCATACTCGCTTGTGAGTACGAGTGACTTACATAAACTCTAATCATACAATGATAATCAACATTTCAAATGAAAATTGAGTCATGTTTGGGAGTTTTTAGTTCGGACGTTTTCACATTTATTTCAAACCTTCCCCCAAACACAAACATATTTATTTCCTTTGATGCTTAACTGTTAATTAAGCAAGCTATATATTTTTAATAAATATCGTTTAACTAATTTAAATTCTTGACGTAAACCAAGGAAAGAACTATAAGACCTGCATGGTACTAAATACATAAAAAATGTTGTAGCTAATTAGCTCTAGTCAATCTGATAATGTTCGCGGAAAAAATTATCACGACTTTCGGTTTGAAGATGCCAGTTTCCAGATCATGTTTTGTTTTGTATTTTGTGAAATTGTCGGTTTGCATTATTTTCATCTCTCCCTTGGGCCCTATTAATTTTCTGTCATAGTAAGTAAGCGTAATATCGCGTACCTTCTTATCAACATAATTATTAAACATTACCCATTGTATTAACTATACAGGGTGTCCCAAAAAAACGCAACCACTTAAATATGCAAGAATATTAATATTGTTCGGGTTTGCACCATAGTTCAGCTAAAATGACTTTTAGCATTGTAAATGAAGGATTAAGAGCCATTTTCAATTCCCAGAGGTGCTTATCTATTGTGCTAGCTTTAGAGCTGTATTAATGTTCTGCATGTTTAAGTGGTTGCTTTTTTTTTGGGACACCCTGTATATAATATAAATCGAAATTTTTCTTTCTTCTTTAAAGGCACCGCCACGTCTTTAACAACTCCAGCTTATTAATGACTCTGAATTTTTTTATTAAAAAGTACTTCATAAAATCAAATCAAACTTGAAAAAGAGGTTTCATTGCAATAGATTATTTCTTACTTTTCTTGCAGGTCTATGTGGCATTAGCCACCTGTATGCTCCTGCTACAGTTAAAAGCCCTCTTTATCCCAGTTACTACCCTAACTCTATAGACTGCAACTGGATTATTTCTTGCACCAATGGGTCAAGGATTTTGTTAACGTTTACATCTTTTTCGGTAAGTCACAATTGGGTACATTACTTTAATTCGAGAGAGGATATATAGCCCTTTTATCTTGCAGAAATCAAGACGCATAAATATTATCTAGGTTATGAATAATTTCGGACTGAACCGCTCCAGCGCCGATTTTTCCAAATGAAGATCAACAAACATACCTGTTTGTTTACTATATTATAAACATTATATCTCTCGTCTAAAAGTCTAAATTCAACCTTAAAACATTAGTTTTTTAAGGTTTCAAATGTTATTAATTCTTTCGATATGCACATTCGTCCTTTTTTCGATACGGCCAGCAAAGTATTTTTTCTCACTTTTAGCTGGAAAGTGATTCCCGCTGTATTTATGATTATTTGGACGTTTATGATGGTGATTCCTCGTATGCATCAAAAATTGGGCGATATTGTGGAAGCCAATTACCACGAAGTTTGACATCATCTAGATCCCACCTTTTTATTGCGTTCCACTCGGATCTCAGTCAACGAAAACCAGGATTTGTTTTGAATTTCTCAAATAAATTTCGTAAGTTTACGCGGAGCTTTAACTCTAAGATAGCATGACGAACATTCAAAATCCATACATGGAAATTGTCTGATTATTCAATAAAGTAGTATTATAAGATAATATGACTACTATCAATGATGCATATCATTGACTATATGATTAGACAAATTTATGTGTGTTCCATACTAACGGTTTTTTCAATGTTTCTAATCGTCGTTAACTATACATACACGTGCACTCTAACTATACTAAGATAACTTAAGTATTCCCCGTTTATACTACACTCGATTTAATTGCACTGCACGACTAAACTGGGTATCCGTGCCCAATTTTATAGCCGCTCATGTCACCAAAACAAAGGCCAGGCACGGAGGAAATATGCACGGGTGCCCATTTTAACCGCGTCGTGCAATTAAATTAAGTGTATAGTGTGAAAAAGCTTTAATGTCTTTTCTATAATTTGTTTTTTTTCAGCTAATTTTTAATCTCATGTTTTTTTTCAGCCAAATTTTAATACTTAATTAATAACATTTTTTATCCCACAAAACGTGCTTTCGCATAATGCAAACGTTATAAACGCATAAAGAGTTTTTAACGACTCGATAATTTAAAAAAAATGTTTATTCGAAATTTTACATGCACCTATAAGGTGTCCATTGAAAGGCGTGGCTATTTTTAAGACTTGTTGTATTGCTTTGTGCTAAATTTTCAGTATGAAAATAAAATTATTTGATTTCTGATGGTGATTCTTTTTCTTCTGATGATCAGCTGCTTTTCATCGCAATTCCACTGAACTTATATAATATGTGTTTCTTTTTAAATAAATTTTGGTCAAAAAATCATTTTAATATCACTCCAATGCACCCCAAAACAAAAAGTTGTAAAATATTTATTATAAAGTCATTACGTTGCACCACTTGGCTCATATTATAATGTACTGATACGTTTTAGGTGGAAATAAAACACAATGCCAGAAACGAATCGATCTTGGATTTCTATTGGATAGTTCTGGTAGTATCGGGCTGACTAATTTTGGTAAAACAAAATCTTTTGTGAAAGATCTTATTGCCTATTTCAAAATTTCGCAAAATAACACAAGAGTGTCCGTGATATCATATGCGTCAACGTCAACATTGCATTTCTTCTTTTCTCAAAAATTTGTGTTTGCACAAGATCTTTATACAGCAATTGATAACATTTCGTACAGTGGTGGTGGAACTAACACCCACGAGGCGTTGATGCAAGCCTATAAAGATATGTTTAATGGCGAAAAAGACGTCCAGTTCCCAGGTTTGTAAACTGTCAATATATCAACGAGGTTTATAATACTGCTTATTGTACACAGCAAGCACATTAATCCATTCTGTTTTTATATAGTTATAATTAAAGTGTTAACACGTTATTTTTAATAGTGCTTAATTTTTCTGTATGCATGATATGTTATGTATATATAGAATCTACTATTATAACCTCACATTCATCAGCGCCGCGATCAGTTCTGTCCTTAATTCGCATATTGCGTGGCAATTGTGTAGCGATTTATACTTTCGAATCGACAACAAAAGTTTTTAAATTTCTTTGAAATTATAATGTCTTTAATACGCCCACTGTATTCATTAAAAACCTTCATTTCAAACAATGCATGTCAATGCATGTAACCACTTATGAATGCGCCCTAACTCCAATATCTTAGCATTTCAGTTCAGGGAGGGGCCCCCAAGTTCCGTAGTTATCACAATAATTGGCGTAGTTAGCACATATTCGTATACTCATGTTAACAGCCTTGAAAAGACGATCGATTTGAAAAAAAATAAAAAGAAATTGATCTCGCACAACATGAATAAGAATATGTGCTTTCCAATTATCATACTTCCTCACTACTGATCCTCCTCCTCCCAATTTATTAATGACTTTTTTAAATCGTAGCTAGCTAATCTGCCTTGTATGCCTACCAGTATCCTATCTGAAGAGGAAGAAAACGTGGGAAAATGCTTGTGGCATATTTCCCACCGCTTTATTCTTGTTGAATTTTTCAGAAACAAAGAAAATTTTGATTGTTTTTACTGATGGCAAAAGTCATGGAAGTGTTGAACAACCTTCAAAAGAACTAAAAAACATTGGCGTCGTAATATATTCAATTGGAATTGGATCTGGAATCGATGTCTCGGAGCTGGAAACAATGGCTTCTCCTGCTGCAAAAGATCACGTGTTCTTTTTGCGAAACTTTTACGAATTATCTGCTTTGGAAAAAAATATCCCTTATTCGGCTTGCAATGGTAATTTTTGGAATATGTTCAGGGGCCGGTTGTATCAAGCCCGTTTATCTTAAACGGTGGATAAGTCAAAATTAAATAACACTCTTACAACTCTCTTGAATGAGTCAACTTGAATATTATGCACTGAATTGTAGTTGTAAACAGTATCTTTGTATTAAGGTCAAAAACATTTTGTTTGCTTCTTGAATAAAACGGCAGACTTGCTCTCTATTTTGAACTTATCCACCGTTTAAGCTAAACGGGTTTGATACAACCGGCCCCAGACTGATAACTAATATACGGAAAATATTTTCTAGTTTATATTGTATAGATCTCCTCTCTGAGTATATTGTATAATCCCCATTGGAAAATCTGGACATTCACAATGCAAGTCATTTAAATAATAAGATATTTTGACCTCGCCGCACCTATAGTATTTTAATTTGTTGCGAATGCACATATAAACAAAGGAATTCTTGCAATTTAAACGTACAGGAATTAAAAACTATTAGGTTCGGTGCTTCATGGTTCGGCGCTTCATTTTGCAAAATGGTTTTTCGTGTATAAAGCAAAGTTACGTGCTTGTCCTAATGCTTGGCCTAATGCTATTATTCTAAAAAGAGGGAGGTAAATGATGCACATATTTCAGAGTGCATGACGAATATTGTATAGTACGTAATTTGAAATTTTACGTTACGAGTTTCGTAGCAAAACGAAAGGCTGTAGCGCGCGTATGACCAGTATAAATGAAATTACAATAACGAGCGACAGCCATACCGTCACTATAATTTCCGCAAATGTATTGTTTTCAGAAAAAAGTGAATGCTACAAATGCCATAAGCAAGCGTCGTGTATTAATACCAATAGCACGCTCCACTGCTCTTGCAACAACGGTTTCACTGGAAATGGATCTTCATGCACAGGTGCGTTTCTCTTTTAGTGATAATTTATTACATATTTTCTTTACACTTCATACTTAGATCGCCATGACATCGCAGGAATTGGTATACTTGCTGGTTTCAGGCTTTGTGGGAAAAATATTAATAAATACTCATTCTTGCTTCTTAATATTCTTGTAATTTGCATGGTGACTACAAGTAAATGAATTAGCTTGTAGGCATACCACGTAAGTATTTTATGCTGCAAAGCTTTCGATCCGTTAACCCGGACCTTCATCAGTGCAAATAAAATTAAAACACATTAGGTGTAAATCGCACTGATGAAGGACCTGGTTAACGACCCCTAATTAAGTTTTGCATTGTTTATTGTATTTACCTGGTGTCCCTACCGGTTAATTTACCTAAAGTATTTCGTGTACAAAAGATTCTAAGATTGCACACGGTAAAACGAATCATCTCAATGAATAACCTTAGCTTGTGTATACTTTAAGCCTCAAAATGGCCAATTCACAGCTGTCACATGTATATGATGAGGTGTTAAAAGATTGCAGAGTCCGTTTTCATATTGAACTTTTTAAGCTATTCAATAATTTTATATTTGATAGTGATACATAAATATACAACCGTGATCCATGATTAAATTTACGGGCTGAAATTTTTTTCACCAATTTCTGCGGTGTTGACCAATATTGATTTTGTTTTTGAAGCTATTATATTTCTAAATCTTTTTCAATATATTATATTTCAGATGTCAATGAATGTGAAATTGGAACAAACAACTGCAATGGCAACGCATCGTGCAAAAATACTTTTGGCTCGTTTAACTGTGTTTGCAATATTGGATTTATTGGCAATGGAACGACATGTAAAGTACACATTTTACTGAAATTAAGGATAATATTCATCAAGCTAATACAAAATGTTCCGGCTATTTTTGTTATTGTGTGTGATGCGTTTACATTTAACCCCGAAAGATAGAATTGAGGAAAATTCGCATAGAAGCTAGATCTTGCAATGAAAGGAAAGCTGAATGACGACAAAATTAGTCAGCCTGTCACTTACACTCAATTTCAGTTTTATGAAATTAAAAAAGTACTAAATTAATGATTGAAAGTTATACTTCCACAATTGACTTAACTTTTGTAAGGAAATAGTAGTTTAACCGGTCTATTACAATAACAACCACATTTAATTGGCGATTCATGTAAAATATTATATTTTAGGTAAAGAAATAACAATATGCACAAAAAACATCGATCTTGGATTTATATTGGACAGTTCTGGCAGCATTGGTCGTTACAGCTTTGATATAACGAAGTCATTTGTGAAAGATCTCACGAAATATTTCACGATTTCCCAAAACAGCACAAGAGTGTCAGTGATGTCATATGCGTCACAGACCACACTGCATTTTCACTTTTCCCGAGTATTTGGAACCCGACAGGATCTTTATTCAGCAATCAACAACATTCCATACAGTGGAGGGGGAACGAACACTCATCTGGCGTTATTGAGAGCGTATATTGATATGTTTAATGCCAAAAATGGTTCCCGTTTTTCAGGTATCGTTTAACGTAATGTGTACTTTTCATAATTTCTTTCACCATCCTTAGCAATTTATTCGTACCAAAAAAAACAGCTATTGTCGGAAGAGTTAGTCAATCTTACTAACAATACTCGCGAATTTTAGGCAGTGGTCGTACCACATTTTTTGCGAAGCTCTTTTAATTTACCTTCCAGAATCGATTCCTCGCACGGCACATTAATTTTATTGTAACCTACTGCGACAAGACAACGCTTCAAGATTTTGAATAGCAATATAATTATTTTACACCCCTCTACTTTCAACCCTTCGTTTACGTTCCTATTATATTGTAAAATCCTATTATATTATAAAATATTATAAAATTTATGATAATAATTTTTCTTCTCTTTGAATAATTATTCGGCGTAATACCAGTGAATAATCTTTAGGTTTAAAGAAAGTTTTGATCGTTTTCACGGATGGCAAAAGCAATGGAAATGTACACCCACCTTCTCAACAACTTAAAAAAATCGGTGTTGTAATATATTCCGTTGGAATTGGGTCTGGAATTCATTTGTCAGACTTGAAAACGATGGCTTCCTCTCCTTCAAATAAACACGTGTTCCATTTGTCTAATTTTAATGATCTATCAACTTTGGAGAAAAATATCTCAAACTCTGCTTGTAATGGTAATGTATCAAAATGTGTTCAAATTTATAACTAATACGAAGAATACATATCCCCAATTATGAGTTTTGTTCTGGCTGTCCATGAAACAATGAAACTCTCAGGAAAAAAAACACTCAATATTTTGCTTTAAAGTGCCTATATCACTTGTGGGATCTTTACGGATTTGAATAGAGCTTGAAAAATTAGTTTATAAGTTCTTCAACATTTTTTGATATAATTAAATAGTTTCGAAAATACGTCGGTTGGGGGAACTGGGACTCAGGAATGATTTGCAAACACGCCGTCTTTTATAATGTAAACATGAAAAGTTTCACTGGCGATATAGTTTGCGCTTTTGAAGAAAAAAAATGCGGGAACGGTGTGTTGTGTATTGCTGTAGCAACTGGGCGAGTTTTTCTTTGAATATTTTACGTTATTGGAAAATCGAAGTATGATTACATTTGATTATATTATGTTTGACAAGAACTCGGTTTCTGAGTCCCAGGCCCCCGAGCAAGACGGAAATTTAGGCAAATCGTCATGTTTACATGTAAATATTTCCGAAACTATTTAACTATATCAAAAAAAGTTGTAGAACTTATAAACTAATTTTTTAAGCTCTATTCAAATTCGTAAAGATCCCACAAGTGATATAGGTAGGCACTTTAAGGCATACGCCTGTATTCTAAAAGCTCACTCACACTCAAACTCATTGAGTGGGAGATCTTAATCTTCTCATACAGTTTCAATGGCGGTATTTCCAGCCGAACAGGGGCTTGATTTTCAGTGATTTACCTTATATCTTTCCATCTATTCAGAAAAAACTTTCTCATTGATCAGCATTAACGAAAATTATATGTCACACTCGATGAGTATGAGTGTGAGTGAGCTTTTTGAATACAGGCGATAGAGTCTTTCGCCTGTATTCAAAAAGCTCACTTACACTCATACTCATCGAGTGTGACATATAAATTTCGTTAATGGTGATCAATGAGAAAGTTTTTTCTGAATAGATGGAAAGATATAAGGTAAATCACTGAAAATCAAGCCCCTGTTCGGCTGGAAATACCGCCATTGAAACGTTATGAGAAGATTAAGATCTCCCACTCAATGAGTTTGAGTGTGAGTGAGCTTTTAGAATACAGGCGTTTAAGTATGTTGTTATTTGTGAGAGTTTCATTCTTAAAATTCCTCAACATAATATTATCCTTCCCGTCCTCAAACTCTTATACCTGCAAAATTTTGTTAAACCAAAAGACATCGCGACGGGGTAATAAAGTTATCAAATATGTCATACAGGAATTTCTCAGCGTTTCTCTTCTTGTCTTGCGCAGGGAACACTATTAACAGCAACTATTTACCAGTTACAGTTATATCCATTTACAAAAGGAAGGAATTAATTTTAATTTCCATTATTTCTGCAAGTAGTTTGGAATAATTTCATTATTGCATTTTAGATGATTATGAATGTTACCGCTGCGATATTCATGCATCGTGTCTTGAAACTAATGGCTCACTTCACTGCTTTTGTAACGTTGGTTTTGTTGGAGATGGATATTCATGCGCAGGTATAGTCACAAGCTAAAATTTACGCTGGGGTTTTCGCGATATCTACTAATTAATTAATTAATTTACTAGAAATACATGCATGCAGCAACCCCTCGCCATTTTAAACGAAGCAAAATATTTCCTGCGCTACCCAGTCCTAACTTTTTACGCTAATATTATAAAAAAACTCCTGCAAATTTTTCGGAAACAAAGACAGTCGTAAAGGTGAACAGAAATCACCTGTTTGCCTGCTGCATTACGTTGCAGTTTAAGTGAGTGTTAAACTTTTCTATAGCCAAACCTTCAAAACATCAAAACAGCACAAATAATTATAATAACCATACAAGCACTAAACGTCGAATGTTGTTTTTCGTCTATTTATCCCCGAGCTGGTGCAAAGCACCGAACGAGGGTACTAATTCCGCCCGGAGATTTTAATTACGCCCGGGAATACAAATGCGAAATGAAAGTTGTCCGCCATTATGTCATGGACGTTGGGCGTTTTGTAGGTTATGCGCATGCGTGAGTATAAGACGAGTTAAAACTGGTAACTAGCAATAATTTATAACGTGCGATTGGCTAAATTAAAATTTGGGTCACGTCAGCATAACTGATATTTTGAATTATAAAACTTTTTTTAAATAATATTTTTCATTTGGATGGTCTTAAAGATATACGAAAAATTGACTCATAAAATTGATTAAAATATAATGTGAAAGATGCCTTTGGATAGAAAAATTTTCATTCAAATGGATGGTAAGAAATCTACGATTTTGAAGCATTTTTAAAGTGTTTTTGAACAGGTAAATGGGTAGATTTGTGTTTTATAAAAGCATACAAGCATTTTGTAAGTTTAATATGTGTGTGAACTTATTCGTCAATTTCGTTAAAATGATTTTGATTTAGAAAGTATTTATTTTCAAAGGTGAATTGGTTTAAAAAGTAATTGAAATTTCGCTAAAAATTGTAGTATTTAAAACTATTCGTAGCACAATTATGATTATAGTCGAATTTGATTGCTCGAGAGTCGACTTTATAATTGTACCAAGATATAAGATTTTACTTTACGACTTCGATCATTCAGCAGAAACGAGTATTATAGGATTTCAGTGATGGAAATATAAGTTTATTGCTTCAGGCAAGGGGACTTTGCATGCAATGTATTTCTAGTTTTATTCAATGATTTTAGCGACTATATAAGCTGCCAAGGAATATTTGTTTTATCAAAACTCTGAAGTACACTTTTGAGAACTCTTTTTAAAGTGATGATGTAAAGCCTTAAACGGTCAGTTAGCTCCTTGTAAAACGACACACCAAGCTCGTACTTGTCAAAATAACAATGCATTCTTACAGCAAACACTGAATAAGCAAAATATAGACACCTACCACTTCAAAGATTATAAAATACGAGTCGTCCCTATTTCACCAACTGTTTCTGTGCTGTGATGACCTTTAAATATTTTATTATTGTTTTAATATTTGACTCCATGATTTCAATTTATATTTTTTGAAAAATAGTTTGCAAAATGACGGTTAAAATGCTGACGCTCTCATGCTTGCTCTCTTTTTGTCTTAGCCATGCTTGCTCTCTTTTTGTCTTAGCCAATCAGCAAATTGTAGACGACCGTGTATGCGCAAAACTACTATAACCATTGAACGTCCATGACATTTGGGCAACTTTGGACTCGCCTATGTTCTGTCAGAATACCCGGGTGTAATTCCTAATCTTTTCCTAATCTCCGGGCGGTATCAGTACCCTCGCACGGCGCTTCGCCCCGGCTCGGAGATAAAAAATTTGTTTGTATTTGTTGCTGATTTTATATTTCAGATGTGAATGAATGTCAAAATGGGACTAACATTTGCAATCGTAACGCGTCGTGCAACAATACCATTGGTTCTTTTGACTGTCTTTGCAACACCGGCTATTTTGGTGATGGAATAACATGTACGGTAGATAAATATTTGCTTATTCTAAATATAGTTTTTTAAATCTCAATTATGCATGTATTTCAAATAATTTTTTATGCGTTACAAACCTCTCAAAACTCATTCCCATCCAGTTCATGTGTTTTGACATAGGCGCGTGAACATTCAAGACATTTTGTTTTGCAAAAAAAATCACAACTTGGTATGTTCTTGCATGGAGTTTGCCTCCTCCGCAGGCGCTACGGAGCGTTTCGTGCGATTTCAAAAAATTCGGGTTACAACGTCTATTGCTTTCGTTTCTAAATTTCTGCCAATTACTGCCCGATATATTTGCCCGGAAAAGGGCCTGGGTATGAGGTAGGCATCAAATAATAAGATAAAATGAGCTAAAAATTTTTTTACAAAGCTCGGAAAACTTAAAAGTTTCCCTTACCAACCATATTCTTAACTCATTATAGGTGAAGAAGTATGCACAGAAAGGATTGACCTCGGGTTCATTTTGGACAGTTCTGGCAGTATTGGGGGATATAATTTTGCTCTAACCAAATCTTTTGTGAAAGATGTAACGGACAATTTCGAAATATCTCAAAAGTACACAAGAGTGTCAGTGATGTCATATGCGACAAGCACAAAACTACATTTTAAATTTTCTCGAGTATTCCGAACCCGACAAGATATTTATGCAGCAGTAGATAACATTCCATACAGTGGAGGGGTGACGAACACCCATCTGGCACTTACGAGAGCGTATACTGATATGTTTAATGCCAAAAATGGTTCCCGTTTTTCAGGTTTGTTTATTAATATTGCTATGGTCTTGGGTAACTGAGGCAGGGGGGAAGCAAGAACTCGAGCTTGTTTTTCTAGAGGTGTTATAATGATTTTTATCGCATTGAACCAAACGTCGGTCGACTGAAATTATTGATAAATTGGTTAATTTGTTCTCGTCACTCGAATAAGTTTGCTGAAATCATTCGCCTTCCCCACCCCCAAACCTTTTTATAGGCCTGTACGCCTATATAATATTGCTATCAGATTTTATGTGTCAAATTTATATATTCATTTGTTTTGTGGTATTGCAGATGTAACCTTGAACATGTTAGCGAACTACCAGCTTCCACTCTGATTTTCATATATTTTGAACTGCATAGATTTGTCTTGATTTTTTGCAGCAGCATTGAAATTGAAATAATAAAAATCAAGATAATATTATAATTTGTAGGCTCTGGTTTGCCTGTGCTTTTGTTTTTCTCTGTAATAAATCTTTGAAAAACAATTGCGCCTAACCAAATAGTTAAATATCTTTACAGGTGTAAAGAAAGTGTTAATTGTTTTTACGGACGGCAAAAGCAGTGGACATGTATACCAATTATCCCAGCAATTAAAAGATGTCGGCGTTGTAATATTTTCTATTGGTATTGGGTCAGGAGTCGATTCTTCAGAGTTGAAAACAATGGCTTCCCTTCCTGCAAGTGATCATGTGTTCCTTTTGAGCCATTTTCATAAACTATCAACTTTGGAACGGAATATCTCATATTCCACATGCAATGGTATATGTTCCGACTTTTGTTCAAATTTAAAACTGATACGAAAAATATGTCGTACCTCTGTATACGGTGATGCGCTCCCTCAGATTTATGTCAGGGATCTTAGGATGCTCCAAATCTACAACGCGGACGTTACATGAAAACCCGGATTGTTAGAAACCCAGTTTTAATTAGTTTCACATACAGTTCTGACCTTGTTTGCCAAAAGGAGTCCATAATTTTCATTCCTGCTGTGAAACTGTGGAAATGAAGGCTGTTTTACGTACTTCATGGCCGCGTCGTCGATTTGGTGTAACTAAAGGCTTCCATTTTTCCCAAAATCTAGGTTCATAAATTCTTTCTGATTTCTGACCATGAACATTAATTCTTAATCAATCAATTGCAGCCTTATTTACCTCAAAACGATTAACTGGATACCGAAAAATACTTTTTTACAGATTTACATGAATGCTACCACTGTGATATTCACTCATCTTGTATAAAAACGAATGGCTCATTTCACTGCTTTTGCAATATCGGGTATACTGGGGATGGAATGACATGCAACGGTAACTCTTTAAGAATTTATGACATAAATATTGCACGATAAACCACGGTTACTTTTAAATTTTTGGAAAAGCTGATGATGGTTTTCGTCGTAAATGTTCCATTTCAGATGTGAATGAATGTGAAATTGGAAGAAACAACTGCAATAGTAACGCGTCTTGCAAGAATACCGATGGCTCTTTTAACTGTCTTTGCAACACGGGCTATTTCGGAGATGGAATAACATGTAGAGTACATTTTTAATACATTTAAAATCAATATGATATTCATCAATATTATCAAAAAATTCGATTAGCAAGTGCAAATCTTCCTGAGAGCAAAATTTCCTCCGCTTTTCTTGTAGCATCTGTCTGCCTAAAAATACGTATAAGACAAAATGTTCGATAAACATATTTTCACAAATCTTTTTGAAAAAAATTCTATATGTATGTTTACCCAACAATGTCGCTGAGAAAAGCCGTAGTGCATACGCAAATGCAATGATCGTCCACAGATTAGAAAAGCTTATAAACATAAAAATTGTACTCGTCATTGATAGGCTAGTTCCAAGATTAAAAGCAGCCAGTTAATATAGGATATTGCCAGATGCTATACCCTCAACCTCTCGGCATAGCACGGTTAAAAGGCGTACCAATGCGAATTTCATCCATGCCCGGCCTTTGTATTGACATATAGACTGAGCACATTAAAATTTTGTACGGAAACCAATTAGCCACTTCCTAATGCAACAGGATACTTGATCTAGTCCATGATCTAAAGCCTCTATGGATGGTTTGGAGAGACAGGAAATAATCATTTGCAATCATTTGTCCCTCCAAACAGTTCATAAATACTTTGTGGTTTTTGACTAGACCCAGTACCCTGCTCGATTGGGAAAAGGCTAATTTTAGACTTGTCGTGCCAATAAAATTTTCATTTAATTTTAAGGTGAAAAAATAACGATGTGCACAAAAAAGATCGATCTTGGATTTATATTGGACAGTTCTGGCAGTATTAACCGTTACAGTTTTGGTAAAATGAAATCTTTTGTAAAAGATCTCGCAAACTTTTTCACGATTTCTCAAAACAGCACAAGAGTGTCAGTGATATCTTATGCGACATGGACCACACTGCATTTTCCCTTTTCTCGAGTATTTGGAACCCGACAAGATCTTTATTCAGCAATAGATAACATTCCATACCATGGAGGAGGAACGAACACCCATCTTGCGTTGTTAAGAGCGTATACAGATATGTTTAATGCCAAAAACGGTTCCCGACTCACAGGTTTGTTTGGTATCAGAATGCTGCAAATTGCATGTTTATAGAAATCAAATAACCGGAGCGAATTGAACTTTTGTACACCACTAATTTTAACATTTTTAAACTTTCTAGATACAATATTTATTAAATTTTTAGTCTTTTCTTTTGCTCTCTCTCCCTTTCAAAATCTCTCCAATAACTTGTAAAATAGTAGTGTAATACAAGCGAAATATCTTTAGGTGTAAAGAAAGTTTTGATCGTTTTTACCGATGGCCATAGCACTGGAAATGTATACCAACCCTCCCAGCAACTCAAGAATATCGGTGTTGTAATATATTCTATCGGAATTGGGTCTGGAATCCATTTTTCAGAGTTGAAAACAATGGCTTCTCCTCCTGCGAATAATCATGTGTACCTTTTGCGAAATTTTTATGGACTATCAACCTTGGAAAAGAATATCTCATATTCTGCTTGCAACGGTAAATAAATGTTTTAAAATGTGTTTAAAGTTTTATATATGGCTTATTATGGGTTGGATGGATGCTATCTTTCCGAGAGAAATATTGTTGCTATAATTATGCTGTTGCTATAATCCAGCTTTTTAAAGGAAAAATCATAAATTATCATTTACATTGCTACGACAATTAGTACATTCTAAACATTACCTTCTAGATAATTATGAATGTCACAGCTGCGATATTCATGCATCGTGTCTCAAATCCAATGGCTCTTTTCGCTGCTTTTGTAAAATCGGTTACACTGGAGATGGATTATCATGTAATGGTATGTTTTCAGAAACTCAGAATTGACATTAACATTGCATTATACTATATATGCATTATACTATATATCGAAATTGATGATCAATAGCTTATAGCCAATGTTGTATTTCATGCAGATGTGAATGAATGTGAAATTGGAACTAACAACTGCAATAGTAACGCGTCTTGCAACAATACCATTGGCTCATTCAGATGTGCTTGCAATGTCGGCTATGTTGGAGATGGAATAACATGTACAGTAGAGATTTAATATAATTAGAAAAAAATTAAGTGATATATCTGACTAAAGTACAGCAATTAAAGTACTAGCTGTTCAAAAATAACCTAACAAAACCGCTGTAAACCTACGTCAAACCTCGGTCTGATCGCGGTTAAACCGAGGCCAGACCGAGGTCGAACCGCGATGAGACGGAGATTTAACCTCTGCCTAACTCGGTCTGACAAACATTTCTTAAGATGTTTTCGATATGATTATTGTGTTGTCGTTCTGAGTTGTTCCCAACATTTCGTGTGGAAGCGAACAGCAACCGCGATATCGTATTTTTTCTCTTGGGGTCGACTGCGGTTTCTATCGGTCGACCGTGACCGAACTGCATCCGAACCGCAACCGCAGTGTTTGGTTATTTCTGGACAGTACGGTACTTATTTTTCCGTGACTACAAAAAAAACTTTCTCCGACGGTCAGAAAATCATCAGAATCAGGATTTACGAATCTGTTGCAGAAAGTTCAATGCGTTTCACAAACATAATTACAAATTTTTTGATTAAATATTTTTTATTAGAAATAATTACTTTACTGTTTTTTTAAAAGCATTTTCGTTTTCTTTCTATAAACATCTTGCCGCCATTTTGAAAAATCCGCTTGGGACACTTGAGTGATAATCACGCAATAACCCGAGGTCGCTCGACCGATCAGCGGCCAAAATTTTTATTTATCACCTGTTTAATTATACTAAATAAACATTAATCTATTCATAATTCCCATAATAACCATCTAGAGACGAATCTGTATCTTTTAGCGTTTCAAAGGCCACTACATGTAACTGTACTATTAGTGTGTTGTCTTAATGCCGTTATCTATACGTTTTACAGGTAGAGACGTTACAATCTGCACCAAACAGATCGACCTTGGGTTTGTAATGGACAGTTCTGGCAGCATTGGACGTTATAATTTTGAAAAAACCAAATCTTTTATAAAACATTTTACGGATTATTTCAAAATTTCTCCAAACGAAACAAGAGTGTCGGTGATAACGTACGCGACAACGCCAACATTACATTTTGGATTTTCTCGAAAATTCAGGACACGACGGAATCTTTATTCGGCAATAGATAACATTCCATACAACGGAGGGGGAACGAACACCGCGAGGGCTTTATCAGAAGCATATATAGATATGTTTGATACACAGAATGGTGCTAGGATTTCAGGTATTTGATCATTTGATTTTCGAATTATCAATCCATTTTCTCATTTTCTTTTGAAAAGCGCGTGCTACTATTATATTTAAGCTTGTCTTACAAATATATAGGTTTTAAAAAAAAATAATTCCGATACAAATTTCAAATTATTTTTTTCTTTGGTCTAGCTAGTAAATATGTTTAGTTTTGAATCGTAAACTATTACTACTTTAAATCATAATATTTCGAGAAACGAGACGTTCAAAAGGATGTTGGCTATTTACTTCTATTTAAAGATATTGGAATCGCGACCAGGATTGAACGTAGCGGAAAATTGAAACGTTCTCTGGTTGTAAATATTTCATCTTTAACAATCTTTCATCTGCCAGACTGCAGCCTTCAACAGGTAGCTAAAAATACAACGACTGACAACAAATACCAACGGTTTACAATACCAAATCACGCCTAGGGTTGATAATTACAATATTAGGCACAACATACAAATAACAAATATCAAATTCGCCTACATATAATTCTAGGAACTATGTAAAATGTTCTATTTCTTCAATAAAAACCGGCATAGATATTGTAAGGGAAATGCATGTCATTTTTCTCAGCATTAGTTGTGAGTGCGGTATATGCCACGACTCAAGTGTCGCTCTATTTCGGTAGTATGATTAGCAATATTTGAGCCTGTTTTATGTGTCACGACATTCCTGGTGTGTTTTGGCTTTCTAGTGATGAAATCCCGCCCTGTCTCGCCGATGTAACTCCACAAACAGTCCGCGCAATTTATGTGGTTTAAATAAACTGATATATTTGTCTGTTTTTCAGGTTATGGTCTGTCTTTCGATGATTTGTTCAAGCGTGTGTAAAGGTTTATTCGGGACTCCGATTCCGTATTGTTTAAGGAGACGTTTGAGAGGTTCTCTTAGTCCTTTCACGTATAGTAGAGTAGCGTAGTCAACATTTCTGCATGGTTCAACGTTTCCAAAGAACTTACGAACAAACTCTACTTGTGACAGGGTCTTGTACCTTATTATTGCGCCCGTTTCTTATATACCTCTGTCAAATTCTATTCCGACCAGAGAAGCTTGTTCCTGAGTTCTTTGGAAGAGTGGTACCATACAGAAATGTTGACTACGCTACTCTACCATACGTACTAACAGAACCTCACAAACGTTAATTTCTTAAACCATATGGGATCCGAGTCGCAACAAAACCTTTACGCACGATTGAACAAATCATGGAAAGACAGAACATCGCCTGAAAAGCAGACAAATTTAATTTATTGCATAAATTGCGCTGACTGTTCGTGGAGTTACATCGGCGAGACAGGGCGGGCTATCATGAAAAGAAAGAGAGAACACACGATCTATTCGAGAAATGTCGTGAAACTTAAAATAGGCTCAAAGATTGCTCTGCATGCTTGGTGTTACGACCATAAAATTAATTTTAATAACAGCCAAGTTATTGACAAAGCTAACTGCCGACATAGAGCGACACTTGATTCGTAGCATACCGCACTCACAACTAATACTGACAATAGTGCTAAGAATTTACCCGATCAATATTAATGCGGGTTTTTATTGAAGAAATAAACCATTTTACACAGTTTTTAGAGTTATATATGTAGGCGCATTTGATATTTTGTTATTTGTTTCTGTCATATTGTAATTATCAACCCTAGGCGTGTTTTTGTAATTGTAAACCGTAGGTATTTTTGCAGTTGCCGTATTTTAACAATACCCGTTGTAGCCTGTAGGCTGCAGTCTGGAAGCCGAAAGCTCGTTACAAATTAAGTATTTACAACGAAAAAACGTTTCAATTATTTGTTTTTACTTATAGTTTATAGCAAATTGCAAATGGCCAGGATTTAGTACAAAAGTTCATATTATTAAATTGTATCCTGGGGCATAATTCTACTATTTGTCACCTGCCATCAAATCCTGTGTCAAACATATATATCAAATCTACGAGTTTTGCAAGGGGAACAAAGGGATAAAATATATTAACGTGCCAACAAAACACAGAAAAACAGCGTTGTCATATAACATATTTAACGAAGGCAGATCAGTAAATGTAGTTGTTGCAAATCTTCCGTATTTTTCTTCTTATGCTTGCTAATAATATTTAGGAATAACGAGAATTTTAATAGTTTTTACTGACGGAAAAAGCAGTGGAAATGTTTATTATCCTTCTCAACAACTCAAAAACATGGGTGTCGTAATATTCTCAATTGGAGTTGGTTCAGGAATCGATGTCTTAGAGCTCGAGACAATGGCTTCTTCTCCTGCAAAAGACCATGTGTTCCTAATCCACAATTTCAATGAGTTTGCTGATTTGGCTCACAATATGTCATTTGATGCTTGCAATGGTATGTTATTAATATCTGTTATTCATTGAATAGAATTGGTAAAATGGTATTATATCTCCCATGTTGAAATTAAACGGACCCCTTTCTGTTACAGGCAACACCACAAACATAACGCGAGGTAACTTTTTAGAACAATTTTATTATAGTCAAGTAATTTTAAAAAACTATATATAGAAAATGGGTAAAAAATATTTCAGTTATGGGTATTTCGGTAAAAGTATTTAACTAAAGGAAATAGATTAAATATCTAATATATTAGAAAGAAGAATGAATCCGTATAAATTTATTTTTTCTTCTTTTTACGGTCTCCACCACGCCAGGTCCCATCACACGAAGTCGAGGTACCATATGATAACTCATTTAGTGAATAACTTAGATATGCGAAAAATATTTTAAGTAACTTAATATTCGCCGCAACTAGAGTTTTACCCGTTTTACTTTCCTTTTTTTCTTATACGAGTTCATGTGGAAATACTTCACTGTATACTCCTGGCAGACTAACAAGTCCATTTTATCCTTACTATTACGCCAGAGACACGGATTGTACTTGGATTATTTCTACTACCAATGGAAAAATTATTTTAGTTCAATTTTTATTCTTCTCGGTACGTAACATTTAGCAACCTTCGTAATATATCTTTTTCAATTGCCATAATAAGTATATTATTTTTGCTCTAGCCTTAAAACCTAGCTTTGCTATGGGTTTTCCATTTCATCAGTTTTTTTATTGCGAGTGCGCGATAAGTGTCGTCAAAGATAATAACCTAGCATTTTTTGTCCATAGAAAATATTAATAAATAACAATGATCACTCTAAATTCTAAAAATAACGTAATAAACTTTTCTAATCTTCGCCTATTATTCCTAACTATTCCCACATAAAACAAAATTTCAACCAACCTTGTTTTTAAATCTACTGTTTTCCCAATTACAAATAACGCATGCTAGTTTACGAGATTGAAACAAATTTTCACCTTTTCCTGACCACAACGAAATGATTGAAAAAACAAATCAGTGAATAATTTCAGCCTCGTCCATTTTAAAATGTAAGTGGCCGTGGAGGATCCTTAACTGCATGGCGGCGCCAAGATTCATACATTCACGTTTCCTTTATAACTCAGTGTATTCCTACTCTGTTCACAGGAATATATGATTATCAGCCCCCACCCTCGGCTTCTTTTGTCCTAGCTGTTGCTTAATTTTCTGTGATATACCTAGCCGTATCACATTATGCATATGTTCTTATATATTTCTAATATATGTATGTATTCAACAACCCACGCCAAACATGTCTTTTGTATTCATGCAAAAACTATAACTACAATCATTTCCTGCTTTGTCAAATAATAGTCTGTCAAATTTATGTCAGTTCATATCTAACAGGCACATTTATTGATTGAGCTACAAAAATTTTGAATGGTGGATTAACAAATTCGTCAAAAAATTTATAGCTGGAAATCGATTCGAGTTGTCGACATGATTATTTGGACGTTTATGATGGTAATTCTATGAACGCAGAAAAACTGGGGAGGTTTTGTGGGGAGCAATTGCCAAGGCAATTGTTTTCAAGTGGTTCAAAGCTCTTCTTCGTATTTCATACGGACAGTAGTGTTCAGGAACAAGGGTTTGTTCTCGACTACACAAGCAGAAATGGTACGAAATGGTTTACTTTTATTCGTTTGTACAACTGAAGTTTTTTACAATTATATTCTTATATTTTGATTCAACTTTATCTTTATGTCATGCATTCTTACATTACCAACAAATTTCCCGGATAAAAATTCACCATATTCGTTTCTACGAGCGCTTCCTATACGGGAGAACGGAAATTCTCGCAATGAATTTTTAGTATTATAGCATCCAAGCTATAACGTGTTATATTTTCTTATATTATTTATGATTTCCTCTTGCCTTGGGCAGGCTTACATATGCATTTTTTTTATCCTATAGTTGAAAAATTTCTTGAACATTGTCTGTTATCATCTGATATTTAGTTAATAGTGAAGAATGTGTGATGGCGGATTTTCAAAAAAAATTGGTTACTTAAACCACAAAAAATGAATGCTGAAAATAACACAAATTTAATCGACTATTAGTATTAAAAAAACTAGCGTGTAAAATTTTACCCGTTCTACTGAACATTTTCTCTAATTTAGATTCATGTGGAAACACTTATCTGAATACTCCTGGCAGACTCACAAGTCCTCGTTATCCGTACGTTTATTCAAAAAACACGAACTGTTCTTGGGTTATTTCTAGTGCCAATGCAAAAAATGTTTTACTGCAATTTTCATTCTTCTCGGTATGTCATGCACATTTATAGCTGCCTTCGAAATATATATATTTTCAACTTCGATTGTATGGGTATATTATTTTTGCACTGTGAGTGTGCGCGCGGTAAACTTCGTCAAAGATTATAATCAAGCAAACTTTGTACGTAAAAAATATTGTTTCAATTAAGAGGTTTTAAATGGTGGGACTACAAAATCTTCATGAAATTTCTTTATTTATAGATGGAAGGCAGTTCAAGATGTCAACATGATTATTTGGACGTTTATGATGGCAATTCTGTGTATGCGAAAAAACTGGGGAGGTTCTGCGGGAAAAACATGCCAAAAACTCTGGTATCATCTGGTTCAAAGTTCTTCATCGTATTTTATACCGACCATAGTGTTCAGAAACAAGGGTTTGTTCTCAACTACAGGGACACAAATGGTATGAAATAGTAAAATTTTTATTCCTTTGGTTGTTTCACAGTTACTTTATCTTCATGTCACGCATTCTTACTATTACCTGTAAATTTACCAGATAAAAATTTACCACTTTCGTTTGTACGAGATTATCCTGTATCCATGTTTTCTATTTCTATTATAATGTAACTCAATAAAAAGATATTGTTCAAAGATTATAATTCTATTCAATAACAAATTCTCATTACATCGCAACGCTTGTTAAGTTCGGCGGGAAAAGTCTCGTGTTTCCATACAGTTGTAGCATGTCGAGTATTCGAGTTACGCTTCTCGATCAACTAGCACGCGCGTTCTATAAATGTCATAAGTTGTGTTATAAAAAAAATTGGGATTTTGGGCGCTTCACTCGATGCACGAAAATTCTAGGGTTTAAACGGGCTTAAGTTCGAGTGGAAAGCTATAAGTCCTCTGGCAGGAATCGAACTTCGGTTTTGCGATGCCGGTGCAATGCTCTTGCCACGGAGCTACAGAGGTAGCTGACAATAGCAAACGTGGTAAATGTGTATACTGTAGGATTTTCATGTGTATAACGTGTTATATCTTTTATTATTTAAAATTTTCTCTTGTCTTGGGCAGATTTAACATTGATCATTGAAAATTTATTCTTTTCCTATAGTTGAAAAATTTCTCCAACATTGTCTGTAATAATCAATCACTATTAATTGTGTAATTGGATAGCCTTTATAGCTGGAAAATCTATTTGGACCTCAGAACTGGTTATTCGACCGCTTACGCGAAAGCTGTACTAGTATTTTGAACTTTTGGTATTTGAATGGGACGTTCATCATTTCGGCAGAGAAAGTAGAAGGAAACGAATCCGGAAAATAGCACAATATTAATAATTATAAGTATTAATAATTTTAAACAACTAATGTAGCTATACATTGTTTTATTGCCTTTAAAGATACCAATAAATGTTCTGGAGCTTCATGTGGTCCCTATGGAAACTGCGCACAAATTAATGGTTCGTACATTTGTGTTTGTAAACCTGGATATAAAGGAAACGGAACAAACTGTACAGGTATTACAGTCACCTGGCTATTTCTATATCAAGTTCCATTACAATACGTTTTGTCTGCATGTGGACCGATTCTATCATTAATTTTTTGATGCCCTGCATGTGTCCAAAACCACTGCGAGATCGTAAAAGATTTCACGTTTTGAAAGATTATGTCACTATCCACAACCCTAGTGCATAGTGTACATTGAACAAGTTTCTGAAGAGTCGGAGGAAACCGAAAGCTTTTTCCTAATACGAATTTGAGGTTTCGGTGCATGTCGCTGCATGCATGGTTCGTTTTTTTTCTCGACGGACAAGCCGTGATTCTTTGGTCCTAAATAAATGCGTTTCTCACGCTTCAGACCTTCCTGAGTAACATTATTATATGCATGATTAAAAAAATTAATCGGTGTCAAAATAGAAGCGTAGGATTCGTTGTATAGTAAACCGCATGAATTAAGAATTGAAATTCTTAATATTGAAATGTAAATACGTATAAGATTATTAATAATTATTAACCTTCTCTGACAAAACAGAAGAGGAGAATATGATACGAATGATGTAATCATGCAGTAGTGTAACCAGCCTGACAATTTGTTCCGATTTAGCACTAGGGCGTGGACGTCAAAAGAGGACGTGAAAATGGTGAATAAATGGCGTGACGAGTCTATAAATGGACACGCCGCGCCATTTATTTGCGATTTTCACGTCGTCTTTGCTTTGACGTTCACGTCCTCGTGCTAAATCTCCTTATTGATACATATACGACGAACTGGATTCTCATTCCTTTTTCACATTGTAATGAATGTACCGAGGGTGCACTGCATAAACACTTTTGGCTCATATTATATTGTTATTGTCGAACTAGTAGTAATATATAATAATGGAATAGTAGTGATAATAAGTGGATTTAGAAGAAATGGAATGAACTGTAAATGTACGGTCATGCAAAAGGAAAGAAAAAAGGCTAGCGCAAATTAAACGGCATGATTCGCAATTTGAAATTGAAAGAACGGTGTTCATCTCTGCCTAACATTCCACAAAGTTCCCTTAAGTTGAACACTTTTTATTCTTTTGTGCTGTAGAAAAGAATCCCCGATTTAATAGTAGCTACCAGTGAAACATACTGATTCTACGTTCCCTAGATGCAATTTGGAATAAAATCTACCCGTGATAACTCCTTCCCATAAATATATGAAACTGAATTTATTCCAGCAAGGATTTTGTCGATTCTTCATACTATAGGAATATTAATCCATTTTAGATTAATCACTCTTCTGTTTAATTTTAACACTTCAATAATTTCCTCGTGATAGATATAAGTTTTATCGGAGATAAAAGTTAAATCGATAATCACAAATAGCAGAAATTTTCTCTTGTCGTAGATGAGAAAATGCATGAGAATTTTTTTAGGAAATATCAAAGCCTTAGCAAAATGAATTTTATACATCTCCCTAGATATCAATGAATGTCAATCAAATCCCTGCAATGTGAATGCAACTTGTGGCAACATTGCTGGTTCGTATAAGTGTACTTGCCGTGTCGGTTTTGAAGGCGACGGAAGGAGGTGTACAGGTACACATTATCAGTGGCGAAGCCAGCCTGACGATTTAGTCATGCTATGCAAGTTTTATGTTATTATCATTATGTATTCATTTCTTTAGAAATTCATTGCTTTCACAGTCAATGAACACCAAAATTATTAGTATAGCATGACTAAATTGTCGGGCTGGTTATGCCACTGCATATTATGAACAAAAACTACGATTATCATAGTACATAACCAGAAAAAGTCACTCCATAATGCATGTCTAAGCCGGGCTGTCGCCGTAACCATAATTGGAGGGTGCTTATTCATATATTCATGTCCGTACAACCGTAGTGAACAATAGCTAGTAAAAGAAATCAGTTGCATGAGCATAGGACGAGTTTGACAATTCAATTATTTCCTCGTCATACTTTAAGTTTAATTTTTCCCCGAGTTAAAAGTTTTACTCGATAATGACAAATAGCCGAAATTTCTTTCCTCTGGCAGAATAGGAATACATGAGAATTTTTTTAGGGAATATCAACGTCTTAGCAAAAAGGAAAATGAATTTTATATCTCTCTAGATATTAATGAATGTCAATTAAATCCCTGCAATGTAAATGCAAGTTGTGGCAACATCGCTGGTTCATATAACTGCACTTGCAATGTCGGCTTTGAAGGCGACGGAAAGAGGTGTACAGGTACACATTATGAACATAAACTACGATTATCATCGCGCATATAACCATAAAAAGTCACTCTATAGTTATAATGTAATACAGCCTTCTCTATAAGCTTTTAGTATAATTTCAGTATTGAAAAATGACCTTTGAGCATTCTGATTGGCTCCTTCAGCAGTAACTATGAGGCAATAGTTACTGCTCAGAGTAGTCTGAGCAGTAACTATTGCTTTTCCCCAAAAAAACATGGCTGAAAATACTCAAAATCGTTTTGGAAAAATTTCGGAAGCAGAAATTGAGAACATAAATCAGTTGTATTTAAAAATAAAACTTTTTCAATACTGAAATTATACTAAAACAATTAGTCGCCTCAGGCTCGGTGATTACAAGCCTATATTCACTTCGCCTTCGGCTCAGTGAATATAGGGTTGTAATCACCTCGCCTTCGGCGACTAATTGTTAAATAATTGAGGGGTGCATAATTATTCTTATTATATAGGTGCTGTGTATTTTAAATGTGATTGGTTCATGTTCGTATATAGTCACATGACTTTAAATAAATGCAATGTTTCCCGTCAGGGAAACAAGTGAAAAATTGTTGCCCGCATATTTGTCATAACAAAGTTTTTTGAAATGAAATTGTCGTGTAACATGTATGTTTTTGTTCCTATATAACAAAACACTTAATGTTCGCTACACCTCGGGAAATAGTGAGTTTTGTTTTTTGAAAACAAAATGCTCCTCGGGAGCATACATTAAGTGTATAATATACATGCAGGGTGTATCAGAAAAAAGTTTATATATTTCGGAAATGACTTCTAGACGTACACGCACACATCGTTAGGGAAATCGTTTGGTATGTGTAGGTATTTTGAGCCCCTCAAACACCTCCGGTACAAAAGGTTTGTAAGAAACTGTATTTTTGAATGTAAATATTTTTTGGCGGTCAATTTAGAAACGGTTTGCGAACAAAAATTGGTAACTGAAAATACTTTGCATTTTACTTACTTTTGCATTTTAACCCTTAAAATATGATTCTTGGCGACTCACAGCTCGTTAATCCCAGTTGTGAGTGATTTGCATACATGATAAAATCAACAACGTCAACAAACTTAGACGTTAGTTTACGAACTAAATTTCTGTTAATCTCAAACGAAGAAGAGCAGAACTAAACTCTGTTTCGAACAAAACTAACGAAACAGGAGTCTTCCACATTCTTAGACTAATATTAACTTTGTTCGTGAACTAACGTCTATAACCGTTGCCCTTTGGGAATAACAAATGAAACGTTGATTACTTTTTAATGTTTGCAAATTAGTTTCATCTGGAATTAATGATCGAGTTTCAGTCGCCAGAAAATCAGATTTAAAATTAAGACGCAAAAATGCGACCGCACGCGCTAGCTTATCCCTGCAGCAAATTGTCTGAAACTTTCAGTGGCGTACCCAGCCTTACGATTTTGTCCCGCTATGTAAATTTCCAGTTATTATAATTATTCATGTCTTTAGAAATCTATTGTTTTTACAGTCAGTGAACACTAAAATATTAGCATGGCGGGACAAATCGACAGGCTGGCTACGCTACTGGAAACTTTAATAACTTATAAGAAACCTTCCATATTAAATTTTTAGGCCTGTCAAACCAAACTGCATTTTCAGTCACCTATTATTGTGCGTGGGCTGTTTTTAAATCGACTACTAAAGGCACGTTTTTTACTCGCAAAACACTGTTTTTTACAGACTTCTTCACAGGAGGTGTCTAAAGGGTTTTACCTACACATACCAAAAGATTTCCCCAACGACGCGTGTGGTGCGTTTAGAAGACATTTCCCAAGTGTAATTTTTTATACACTCTGTATTCATGTTGGTGCACAATAGCTAACAAAATAAAGCAGTCGGGCATAAGACGAATATATAAATATGCACCCCCCAATTAGGCTTCTAGGCGACGGCCCTGTGTCTATTTCGATTATATCACGGTTAACTCTTAACTGCGATGGTAGAGAAGTGGACACATGCGGAACGATATCTATGCTAAGCGACCAAAAGAGATTTTCGTTTTGAACCGATCACCTAGTTTGTTTACATCCAGGGGCGTAACTAGAACGATAATTGGGGGGGGGGGTGAATATTCATATATTCAGTTCTGCCCGACGGATTTCTATTGTAAGCTATTGCAATTACAAAATAAATCCGTAGGGCAGAACTGGATATATGAATATTCACCCCCCTGATTATCGTTCTAGTTACGCCACTGTTTATATCTTTAGTAAATTTGAGGTAAAAAGGTTCATGATTTACCATTGATTAATTTTTACGTGAAGGATTAGAAATTTATGTATTCTGATTGGCGTGAAAATGTAAACAATTATGCCGAATAATTTAAAAACGAAATTCCACCTTGTTTGCTAAGCGATCATAAATAAAAATACCAAGAAATGCAAACCTACTTGCACAAATTTTTAGTTTGTCAGCATAATATGTGACTTTTTCTCGAGCTAGATTTGTGCCGAAAAAACTCTTGTGATGTAAATGCAAAGTCTAAGGCAAACAAAAAACGTTAAATTAGATTAGTAGAGCTGATTGAGTTAGGACTCCAGCTAGTATACCTATATGGTTCGTATCTCTTTTAAGATATCAATGAATGTAATGGCCCTAATAACTGTTCCCCGAACGCTGTCTGTCAAAATATAGTCGGGAGGTACACGTGTGATTGTATTGATGGATATCACGGTGATGGAACTCGCTGTGGTAAGTAACTTTATCCTACAAAAATATCGCATGCCCAAATCAAGATATTAAACCTAATGTATAGAATACATAATCCCCAAGCTGGTGCGAAGCACCGGGTGAGGGTACTAATTCCGCCCGGAGATTTTGATTACGCCCGGGAATGCAAATGCGAAGTGAAAGTTGTCCGCTATTATGTCATGGGCGTTGGGCGTTTTTGTAAGTTATGCGCATGCGTGAGTTTAAGACGAGTTAAAACTGGTAACCAGCAAACGTTTGCAAGCGTGCGATTGGCTAAATTAAAATTTTGGTTTGCGTAAGCATAACTGATATTTTGAATTATAAAACTTTTTAAAAAATATTTTTCATTTGGATGGTTTTGAAAATATACGGAAAAATTCACTCGTAAAAATGATTAAAATGTAAATTAAAATGTATTTTGTATTTTAAAGCATGCAAGTATTTCGTAGGTTAACTTGTATATTTATCAACAAACGTACGACACCTCTTTGAATTTATTCGTCAATTTCGTTAAAATGATTTTGATTGGGAAAGCATTTATTTTTAAAGGTCAATCTGTTTAAAAAGGAATTGAAATTTCCCCTAAAATTGTAGTATTTAAAACTATTCGTAGCACAATTTATAATGAATTACGATTTTAGTCGAGAGTCGATTTTATAATTGTACCAAGATATAGGATTTTACTTACACGGCTTCGATCATTCAGCAGAAACGAGTATTATAGAATTTCATTGATGGAAATATAAGTTTATTGCTTCAGGCGAGGGGACTTTGCATGCAATGTATTTCTAGTTATCATATATCACACGGGGGGCAGTAGATATGGATTTTATGGCAAAAAACAATATCTCACGAGTGAGCGCAGCGAACGAGTGATATACTGCTTTTGACACGAGAACATAATTATATGAAACACATATCTTCGAGCGAACCATGCTCTGTTTATTATATGGACTAAGTTATGAGTGAAAAAAATACATACAAAGAAGACCAGCAGATAAGCCGTGCAAGACCATTAAAAAAGCGAATATTAGCTAATTATAAGCCTAAATATTAAAATAGAATAAATTTTACTTATCTAAAAATGTGTTTTTATTATGTTGTTATTATTTCCATCTTTAATTTCGTTTTATATACGAACCATGGAACATTCTTATTTTAACAAAAGCAACAATAAAAGTAGAGGAAAATTTTTGACTCGTTTTGTCACCCCCAAACGTGACATACGGAAAATATCCGCACTGCAATCCAGGTGTATAGTGACGCATGAGTTCTACGAGTGTTTTAGTTCTAAGTATTAAATACTTCCATCCGTATAATAAAAACAATAGAAACTCAGGAAAAATATAATTTTCAAAATGTTTATATATAAATTTAAATATAATTCTTAAAACGCGTTTGTATTGCTTACCCAGTGGTTCCCGTAATTTAATATGCTTGCAATGTAGCTTACTCCATTTTGTCGATCGTTGTTAAATGACATTCTTTCACAAAATTCCCTCACCAAATTTCCCCTTTGGCCCCAGGTTGCATCGAACGACAAATTCCGCTTAGAAGATGTCTGTCTGGTTTAAACACGAAACGAATTATTATTGTGTGTATATATATATATATATATATATATATATATATATATATATATATATATATATATATATATATATATATATACACCCATTTGCAAAAACGTTGGCCGCAGATAGATAGATAGATAGATACTCGAAATCTAATTAGAATTGCATATGTTGTGTAATATTATAGAAATCCCATGCAAATGTAATCATATGCAATTCTAATTAGACTTCGAGTATCTATCTATCTATCTATCTGCGGCCAACGTTTTTGCCAAATGGGTATATATATATATGTATATATATATATATATATATATATATATATATATATATATATATATATATATATATATATATATATATATATATATATATATATATATATATATATATATATATATAGATTTATATATAGCTATATATTCTTACTTTATAGACGATATAGATGAATGTACTGAACGATCAAAGAAATGTACAGGTGCAGGTGAATTGTGTACAAACTACCCCGGGGGATACCGCTGTGGGTGTATCAGTCCAGGCCAACAATATATTGATAACAAGTGTACTGGTATGTATCAATTATTCAACAATCTTAGATGACTTCAGATATTTACCAATGTTCAAATGTAGGCGGGTATAATATTTATCGCATGTAAACAATGACGACAAAATTAGAGACTTACCTTACGCTAGACTTTCGCGGTGTGTAGCACTGAAGAAATTCATTTCAAAATTCAAACCCGATAGACTGATTATGATGTAAATTAGCAAAGCACATAAATAGAGCGCCTTAATGTTCAGGTTCATGCAATTTTTTGAATACAGATAGATTATGCTTATTATTTAATCGCTGCTTTGCTTCCCGTGCAATCTTTTACTCTTCTTCATAGATATTCAGGCATCCGTCCAAGGCGAATTCCGAATAATAAATCGCCAATACATCCCTGCCTTTAATAATAAAAACAGCGCAGAGTACTTCCAATTTACTGAAATGTTAATTAAAGAGGTGTGTATCATGTAGTCAATAATTATAATTTATTTATACTACAGTCTACAATTACCTCAATATCGGGTAATACAATAACCTTCCTTCGCATTTCCCAATTGAGAAGGGAACCAAAAGAATGCAGGGTTTCGTGGGAGCTTCTCCCTTGCCTCTGCATCGTTCCTGTGTCCAATTTGGTGGTTTTAATACTTAATGCATTTTCATTTAGCTAACAAGCCTTTACACCAAGACACCGAAGCTACATTCCACCTTTCGTTCAATTGTCATATTACGACTATTGTAAGTACTATTACCACTATCCATTTTATTTCAGTTCCCGCTTGCAGTTCAGTTTCCACTTGCAACACCCACCTAAGCATAAAAGGTTAATTGGGGAGGGGGGGGGTTGTTTAATAATATATTCCTGTTTTTACAACCATAGCAACAAACGCAAAAAAAATCGGTCCGACATAACACGGTTATATGAGTATATATGCACCTCCACTGCCAGCCTTCAATATATAGCTTTTGAACATAAACAATACAGTTCATAGTATTATTTATTTAGATGTTTTGCGAAACTTTTCGACATTCAGACGCACATTGTACTTTCAAAAATATAAAAGATCCGCATAAGTTTCCATATGACGTTCACTTTGTTTTACACTTTGCCTTTGGAATTCGCGCTTATATTGAAGCTTTTGTTCATATTATAACCTAAGAGCCATATTAACCATTAATATGCGTAATGTGTTCATAAATAGCGATATTAATAAAAGTAGTATATTTCACGCTAAAACACACTTGCGACGACGAGAAACAAAAGAGAAAAAACAAAAGCAAAAAAAACCTACGCGAATTTTCAACTCTGTCGCTCACGCCGGGGTGAATAACAAAAAAAACAAAAACGAAACAAAACTGAGGCGAATTTTCAACTCCGTCGCTCAGGCCGGAGTAATAAAGACAAGTTCGTATAGGTTGTATAAAAAACTGCAACCCACTTATAATATTCATATATGTGTGATTCAATAACAAAAGATCGTAGGCGTCTGTAAATTATTAAAGTTGCGGGGTTTTTTATACACCCTGTATATAATTATGATAAAATTTTCAAAATAATAATGTTCAACGATTCGAATCCTTTTGTGTTATCATTAAACGTTAAGTAGCCTTAAAGATTTCTTGTTCGACATGTATAGCTCAATAGTGAGAGAAATTAAAAAACGCTTTAAATAAGAAAATTCTAAATTCTAGTCCTGGGTCGGTGTGCCTCGATTACGTGGCAACATTCAGCGATACAAAGGGCATAGATGTAAAAAATATTCAGGATGAGTTGGCACAATCGCTACAAGTCACACAAAATGGAACATTCCTTGGCAACGGTCTCAAAATAAGCGAGAGTACGAATATCACTGAAGTCGCAAAACATCTAAGAGTTCAAGGTAAGAAAGAAGAGCAAATCAATAAAGTCAAAATAATAGAAGAAACAATGCAGGCGGGATCATTGAATTCCGAAATGCATCTTTAATTTCCCCCGTTTTGCCCACCACGTGGAACATTATTGCACTAGCAAAATTTTCTTCCATTGCGTCATGGATATCTCAGCGAAGCGAAGGAACAATATCTCCGCGAATAATATTCAATTTATTGTTCATATAAAATTATTCCGTCATACGTAATTCATCCTACAAGTAGGCGTGGTAAATTCACACATCTCCAGTTCCCTCGATCAGTGGAATGAAAACTAGCACTACTCCTTAGGCCGGTTTCAACGAAGTAGAATTTTTCGATCGAACTCTCTAATAAGAAAAATCGCCCTTGTCAGATTCCTTTAAACGGTATTAATCTGCCTAGTGAACAATGGCCTTTAGAAACATTGAATAGGCTGAATTCACAGAGGTTGGAAAGTTTTAACTCTCCAATATGAGAATTCGCCCCTGTCCAGTGGCGGATCTAGGGGTGTGCAGAATAAATTACTACGGCTTAAAATCGGAATCGCATTGGTAGATTTTAATGTAAAAATATTATTTTCAAATCTCTAATCAATAGCTTTGTTATTAACCCCTAAATCCGCCACTGCCCCCGTCAGATGCCTTTGAACGGTACTAATCTGCCTAGTGAACAACGCCCTTTAGAGAGATTGAATAGGCTGAATTCACAGGGGTCGGAAACATTTATTTAGGAGAAGCACTTGATGGTGAAACATAAAGATAATGATCCATTCAGCACATGTGAACGATGTGCCGTATAAAACAGGCTTTCTCCTTACAATGATTGTCAAACTCAAAGAATGGAAAAATCAATGTGTGTCATAATGCAGTATTTTTTCTCTCAGATTACGACGAATGTAATCCTAAAAATAGCATCCATGCTCCTCCCTGTGGCAACAATGCAACTTGTATCAACACAAACACAAGTTACGATTGTGTTTGTGATGTAGGATTTGTGAAAAGTAGCGCTGTATGTGCTGGTAAGATACACTCTGCAAGTGAAAATTTTTTGTGAATCGTTCTCTGTGAATTGATTTAATGACCATTAATATATTTTGTCACTATCGTTCTAAATTTGAGGATGCGGAGGCTTATTTGTAAATCATTAGTCCTACTTGATAGCACTTACGCAGTTTATTCCTAATTCCCTCTATACTGTCCTTACCACCAAGCTTTGCTTAATTATAATGCTGTATACCTTGTTTACACTAAATGCGAGACTTGGTTAGAAAGACAATAACATAGCATGTGAAGAAATTCCCCTATGTGCTATTCTACCCTTCTACGAACCATATCTACTATAGTAACGGTGCGGTTTGTAACAGTACTGAATGTTTTCCTATAGCTCGGAGAGGTGTGTTTAACGATGGCTTACGCCATGTAAAAACAAACATCATTTATAGACCTGGAGTGAGGGGCATTCGGCGAAATATTTCGCGAAGTAATGATATTTTCCGCGGGCTTTGCCATTATTTTCAGCGGGTTCGTGTTGTCCTCGGGAGAAATTGCGTGAGAAAAATCTGCTATCACAGCGTGATAAATTTAATGTCACACCCCTGGTACACCCTAGCTCGGAAATAGGCGATTTTTGTGCGATATTGTGAAAAATCTCCTCGTCACGTGATACAATATTTTTTTGATTGGACAATTTGAATTTGAGGTATAATATAGTCATTTAACGCAATTTTAGATATCGACGAGTGTTCCGAGGATAGTAATTCCTGTCCGGCTAATTCTGAATGTAAAAATACAATCGGATCTTTCACGTGTTCCTGTAAATCTGGATACGTTCGTAATGGAATTATTTGTAAAGGTTCGTTTACGGATTTTTGTTAACTTTATTAGTTCGAAGATATTTTCGAATCAAATTATTTTGAGAGAACAACCTTAATTAATTACCCTTATCCAATGTTCCTTGCATAATTGCAACTTTTCCCCGAAAGAAAATTACTGCCAAAAATCAAATAATCATTCTAATGAGTATATTCACGTTTCAGAAACATCGAAGGAGCCGACTGAGCACGGAACTAAATGGTATATCTTCGTAATAATAAGTGTGGCTGGGATTGTAATCGGGCTCTTAATTGCATGTATTGTGGTATGCCAACGTCGTCGATTTTTGAAAAGAAATGTTGAATTTAATCCGGATGTTCAACATTCATATCAGAATTCAGTTTACGAATTAGATGCTGGGAAAGGTGGAAAGACAACTTTTATGAGTCGGAGGGAACTGCCAGACACTAGAGTTCCGAACAGTATTAACTAAGTAAAGTAACAGTTCCCGAGAACACTTATTAAAGTCTAAAATAGCTCAATGCCGCAAGCCGATAAAAGCACGCTTCTTATAATAGAAAAAAGAACTTTCACTGAACTTTGAGACAATGTCTTACAAAATTAGGTTAGCATGCACAATTATGATTTTTTAGCTAAAATATATAGTTAACGTTAAAAGTAAATGTTCGTAATTAATTTTGACGAAAACGATTTATAAATCAAGGGAAAATAAATGTATTCTGATCAAGAATCTTAGATATTATATAGTCAAATACACGTATTGCACAATCAACCCTATAAAGGTCAAGTTAATTTATAACAATTTTGATGAGAACCGAACTCATGCAGATTTTTCAAATTATAGTCATGTCTATGTTTTGAAAATCTACACATGTTATATATCAAATGAAAGCTTAAAGAGAGATGAATGCAAATGTGCTAATACATATATTAATATTTCATGTCATCTATCATAAAAATTGTTTTAAAATCTCATAATTGATTCTCTCGAACACATGTTTACAAATGCCTAGAGCAAAAAATAGAAAGAGGTTCAACTTCCAAAATGTTTTCTATTTCACCATATTATAGGAAATTTGTCTAGGTCTCCAAAAATATATGACATGCCTATGTAACTAACAGTATTTCATAAAATATTTCCCTGAAACGTGCTCATATGGTATGCATTTTGTTCCTAGATTGTATAGTATTTGGGTAAAACAGTACAACACATTGTTTGAAATACATCAAACATTGTCACTGATTAGACATTAGGGTTTTGTGTGACACTGTCTAAAACATGGTGCTGGGCAAAGTCCAACTTCACAATCAGCACACCAATGGGTTGACTTCTTAGAGCAAATTGAACATCTTCGCTGCATCCTGTTACCACTCTTATTATTAGGCAGACAACTAGGAAAATGTCTTTCAGTAAATCTAGAAGGCATTTCCAAAGATCTTCTCCCAACAACCTTTCTGCTGGAAAAATTTCCAATCAGCTGCTTCACTAAATCAGAACGAAACAACTTTTGGGGACGCTTTGTATGGTTTGGGGATTCACATTCCAGTAAATAAGCATTGATAATGCATCAGTCGATCATCTCGTAGAAAATTCTTGGCCACCATTTCTTTGAATTGACAACTATTTGATAATATGACGTTAGTTGGTCATTTTTGTTAGCACCACGCATAAATGCATTATACTGTTGAATCATCACTGGACAAGGTACAAGCTGCTGGACACCATCTTTTTTTCTTCGTTCACTTTCACAATTGGATTTTCTGGTTCAGGCAAAGTTGACACAACATGAACAGATTTGTTGTCAAGCCAGGTTACTGCCAGGAGTGGCCTTTTCCTCATTTCAATGGTATCTCCCATTGATAATGTCTTCAACTTTGTTTTTTCAAATAACTCATTTGGGAGGCCACGGCGACCGGCTCGAATTGTCCCACAAGTGTCTTGTTGGCAAAAAGATCTTGACCAATATCTATACTGGTGAAAAAATTGTCAAAAAATACTTTGTGCCACTTTCCATAAATTTGCTGACATAGGTTTTGTTACAACTTTATATCCCAAGCAATTTTCAATTGCATCAGCAGTTTTACCAGTATAAATATCAAAATCGCACAGGCATCCAGTTTTTCCATCACCACGACGCCACATTTTTATTCCACGTTTTATAGGTTTTTTAGGCATATACTGCTTCAGGGTTGTTCGTCCTTTGAATCGAATCATTGCCTCGTCAACAGATTGTTCCTCATGTGGATTGTATTGCACTTTGAAATTTGCTTTGATACTGTAAATCAATGGACGTACCTTGTATAGTTTGTCATATATGCAGGGTCATCTCTTGGAAGCATTTTAGAGTTGTCGTTGAGGTGCAAGTACTTTATAATTTCTCGAAATCTTGCAACAGGCATTATACGAGCAAGGGGTGAAATCCCGAAGACCCAATTTTGGGACCAACAATCGCGCATACACGGCACCCTTTTCAGGCTCATTCCGACCAGTATTCCCATAAAGGCTAAAAATTCTAGTACAGTAACCTTTTCCCATGTTTCTGGGTCTTTGTCATGGGCAATAAATTGTTGATAGGCAAAACGATTTGTTTCCAAAATAATTGATTGATAACATTTATTGATAGGAGCAATTTCAAGAAATCTAAGGCAGAAGCTTCCGTAGGTAAAATATTTGTGGGTCCTACCTTTTACTTGAACTTTCCCCTTGCTTTTGAGGAAGATTGATCCTTCTCAACTTTACTAGACCTTTTGGCTTTTGAAAAGTCATAGGCAGAAAGTCTGCCAGCCTGTTTGGATGGTCTATCAACATCAACAACATCAATCCCATGAATGTTATCAAAGTCAGAAGTTTCATTACCTTCTAGTTGCCCTCTATTATCCGTATTTTCAGCCAAAAAATGAATTTCCTCTTCTTCATCTTCTGTGTCTATATCAGAGTCTGCCCCGTCGCCAGGAACATCATAATTTTGGTCCAAAATGTTCAAAACCTCATCGACAGTGAACACATTCTGACTATCATCCATTTGTTTACATAATTATTGTTCGAATTTAAAGAGACAAACGCTCAAAATGACTAAATCTTCAAAAAAAACCATATCGGTGGCCATATATTTACAAGTTATACATCAAACGAATCCTTACAACCTCACGAGTATTTTGCTAACACATACGGGACATGACAGTGCTTTGTGCGGCGACCACTGACCAAAATGTGCACTGACACGTGCTGTCCTATATACAGGACGCTGGCCTTTAAAGCCCTGGGTATTTGTTTTAAATATATATTATGCAAGCGATTTGGTTAATTTACACAAATACAAGTTGAATAAATTGTTATGCATGGCACTTAAATTATAGCTATTGATGTTTATTTTAAATCTTGTCAAATTATTATTCATAAATCGTGGAAAGGAAAGCGTTAAGCAATAAACATGCTCTGAAATACGGTGGCGATGGAAACTGATCTATATGTATTGTTTGACGTTGAATACCAATTTGCATGACACTTTCCGCACCGATCTAGGTCTTCATCGAGGTCTTCTACGACTATCTTTGTGGGGCTCAAATTAATTCGTTTCAAATGGTGTTGTTTTCAGCAGTTTTTAAAGTAGATTTAATTGACCTTAATTAAGCTTTTAATTGCTTTCCATATCACGTGTACATTTACATTTACGTTCATAACGGTTGCACGTGGACTTCATTTTTGTTGGACAATAAAGTTTTTCCATCTCTGGTGATGTAAGGACAAGAGCGTTTTCGGATCTTGTTTATTTCAGCTGGAGCATGTTCTAAGAAAAACAAAGTCATCATTAAGCTTATCGAGTTTGGAGTTAACGTCATTTGGATCTGTAATGATAGGAATAAGCCTTTTATCTAGATGCAAGGTTAGCAGTGAACCTTTCGCCATCGTCGTTTTTATAGTAGCTTTTCCCTGTTTAGATGTGATAGACTTCGTGTTGAGGACTGTATACACCGGCAACTGATCACTTATTATACTATATCCATGCATGACACCACTTTCATGGGTAATACATGAATACAGCAACCCCTTGCCATTTTAAACGTTCTGAATGTCATCCGGTGGCGCTACTGGTGCATCAACAGGAAGAGGCTGTTGATAAACTGCTTGGTCTTAACCAGGTTTGCCTTCTGGAATAACGTCGTCATCTCCAGCATCGGGAAACTGTATCTGGTTCGGACATGATTTTCGGGGTGGTAAAACTGCTTTAGGAAAAGTCCATCCCGCTCATTTATCTGCTGGAAGGAAACCGAGCAGGATCTGAGGTATCTAGCTCCCATACGTACACTCCTCGTATTGCCGTGAACATGTATGCTTGCCCAGCCAAGCGTATAATAATTATATTATAATATGCAGTTTTAATTTTTACTTCGCGTAATATCATTATTTAGCCTGGCGCATACTGGTGCACTTAAGCACCCACACATGTCACTCGATCGTGACAATTGTGACCTACACATATTCCAAGGGAGCCAATTTGGGATATATATATATATATATGTGTCATAAACACAAATATCAAACCTCTTTGATTTTTTCTATCATGCACGCGTGACAAATGTGCATGCCCATGCAGTGTGCGCTAAACAAAATTAATGCAATTAAATCATGCCGCAAGAAATAATATGGAAATTAGAATTACAGTAAAAAACCTAAACATGGAGAACGACAGCTAGTGACGCGCATTTGCCTGAAGACGAGGAAATTCTGTTTTTCCTTTCGCTTATGCGTCCACGGCGGAGAAAGTTGCAGAAAGTTCAAGATCCAACCTTTCAGCAGTTTATTTTATGGTTGATTAGTCACGACATTGTAAACGGCCGTATGGTGGTAAAGCCTTGGAGCATATTCTTCTGAAGACTGAAGGAACAAATCTAAACTACTCTTCGGACAAAGAGATTCGCGATAGACGATGCACTAGTGAACACGAAGAAACTTGCAATATCATGCATGATTTTGCAATGTGAGCAAACCAGGGGATCATCGGTAAACATATAGAAATTAACGTGTTCCCATAACCTGTTTAATAGCGTTTCGGACAGTTTCCAATATATTTTTAATATTGGTTAAAGAGTTGAAAACTATACCCACCACAAAATACAGATACGAACATACCATTTAGACGGGTTTCTATACATGAGTAGGTTCTGAGCTTGACAGAAAATATTTTAAAAGTAATTTCTGTAAAGCTTTAAAATTGATATCCTGGTACTGAGAGAAAGCTCGTCTTAATGAAAACTTCTCTCTCACTGCCGCCATCTCGTTTTCGACAATCTGGCACATCAGCACATCCCCATAAAATGCACCTTTTTTGCACTTTACTTGCATGAACACAAAGAACAACAAAAATTGAGTGTTCTATTTATTTATTTTATTCTACTCTATAAATTACAGTGAAATATACTTAGCCGTAATAAATTATACCCGCGTATTATCGGACATAAAGCTTATAATGTTATAATTATTACCTTTACGGTTTTGTTATTGCCGTGCAGAATATTGCATATTTACTGCTATCTATAAACTGAAAAACGTTTCCATTTTTTATGATTCTCGATCAGCATACATTCAATTGTGCTTAATTTTTAATGCGTTGCTGTAAGTGTAAATTAATCATTATGCGAATGTCCCTTAACAACTTCTACTTATAACTATATTTTTAGGTATAAGACTTATATGCTAATCTAATTTTTTAGAAAATTGTGTCAAAGTTCAGTGAAAATTTCAGTGTCATTCTTTCAAGATGCCTGCTTTCTTCGTCTCGTGGCGTTAAGCTATTTTAGACTTTCATAAGTATTCTCGGGATCTCTTACTTTGCCCAACTCATCATAAGTTGGAGAACTCTCGCGTCCTGCAGTCCCTACTGTCTCATAAAAGTTGTCGTCCCCGAGTTTCCCAACATCTAATTCGTAAAACGAATTGTGGTATGAATGTTGAACATCGGTACTATTGAATTGAGCTTCTCTTTTCAAATATCGACGACGAAGGCATATCGCAACATATGCAATTGAGAGCCCGATGACAATTCCAGCCACACTTATTATTGCGAAGATATACCATTTAGTTTCATCCTTACTCAGCTCCCTCCATGTTTCTGAAACCATAAATATACTCATCAGATTATTTTAATTTTTGACATTAGATTTCTTTGGGGGAAAAGTTTCAATTACAAGGGTCATAAGGATGAATAATTAAGATTGTTGTCTCAAAATCTCAAACCTTGAGCGCACAAGGAATGATGGGTTTTGACCATTTAGGCTATTTAAGGGATATCGCAATAAAAAATTATTATGTTTTCTTTTTGAAAATGAAACTTTTCCTATAAGGAATGTTTGCTCATTGACGGGTTGACGCTTAAAAAATTACAACTACAAGTTTATTGTAACAATTCAAACGTTATTATCTGAGATATGAGAGATTGTAATTTTAAAGTCCTTTTTTTACCTACGAGGTAACCCTAAGCAAATAAATTTCATTCGAAAATAGTCTGAGAAGTAATAAAGTTATCAAAAACCATAAACGAATTTTATAAAGTTAATAACATAATTAATGACAAAGTTAACAAAGTTAATGAGAGACTAAAATAATCTTATTGCCGAATTTTTTTAAATGCTCCAATTCAAATTCGTAATCCGTAATTACATACATCATGGCTTTCTCGCTCGGGTTCATTAAGAGCAACTATATTAAATTAGCTGTACACCATAGACCATGGTCTGTATGAAATTATTTACATGTTAAAAAATGTGAACTAACCTTTACAAATACTTCCACTACGAACGTATCCAGAAATACAGGAGCATGTGAAAGACCCGATTGTATTTTTACATTCAGAATTAGCCGAGCAGGAATTACTATCCTCGGAACACTCGTCGATATCTAGAAGTGCGTTAAATGACATTGCTTTGACATGGCGTGAATCGTGAATCATACCCCTTCGGGAGAGAAAAACATTGCAAGCCGGCCCTGACTAGCAGATATGGTTGGTGGATTGATAGAAGATCACACACGGGATTTTCCTTATATGTTTCACCATATGAAACCTCGCATTTAGTGTAAAGAACATACTGGACGAGGCTTAATTGGTCAGTGGCGTAGCCAGCCTGACGATTTTGTCGCGCTATGTAAATTTCGAGATATTATCATTATTTATGTCTTTAGAAATCTATTGTTTTCATAGTCAGTGAACACTAAAATATTAGCATAGCGGAACAAATCGACAAGCTGGTTACGCTACAGGGCTTGGTGGTAAAGACAGTTGAAGGCATCAGTAAAAACCTGCATAAATGCCATAAAAGAGGACTAATAATTTCCAAATAATCCTCCGGCATCTGCAAATTTAGAATCGCGTTGGCAAAATAGTTTAATCGTTATAAAATTAATTCACAAAGATGGTTTGAATTTTTCTTTTACTTACCAGCACATTCGGCTCCGTTTTTGGCAAATCCAACATGACAAGCACAATCAAAACTTGTATTAGTGTTGATACAAGTTGCATGGTTGCCACAAGGAGGGGCATGGATACTATTTTTAGGATTGCATTCGTCGTAATCTGACAGAAGAAAAACACTGCGTCAAGACACAGTTAATTTGATATTTCCCATATGATTTTGAGAATCGTTGTAAAAAGAAAGCATAATTATGTTTTTATACGTCATAATATAGTTCATATGTGCCGCATGGATATTGATCTTGGTGTTTTATCATCAATTGCTGTGAATTCAAAGTATTAAACCCTTCTAAAGACCGTTTTTCACTAGCCAGATTATTCGATCAAATTTCTCTTTTCAACTAATGCCGTTTAAAGGAATCTGATACGGCGAAATTTTTACATTGGGAAAATCAAGCGAAGAACTTTGTTCGTTGAAACTGGCTGAGAAATGCGATTAGTGTTAGTCTCATTATACTATGTCACTAGTCGAGAGGATTGGAGTTGAATTTTTTACCACGCCTACTCGTAGGATGAATTGTGGAAAGAATTTTTCGTACGACGCAATATGAACAAACTATTGAACATTTTTCAAGGAGACATTGTTCCTTCACTTTCCTGCATATCAATATAACCCTATGGAGGCAAATTTTGTTAATGTAAAAATGTTTCCAGGGGTTGACCAAATACAGGACGAAATTAAAAAGGCATCGCAAATTACAAATGTTTGCGGCAACATTGTTTCCTCTATTTTATAAGTCGTGTAAACGCGATTGGTCTTCTTTTCCCTGTTACCTTGAACTCTCAAAAGTTTTTCGACTTCAGTGATATTCGTACTCTCGCTTATTTTGAGACCGTTGCCAAGGAATGTTCCATTTTGTGTGACTTGTAGCGAGTGTGCCAACTCATCCTGAATATTTTCCACATCTATGCCCTTTTTATCGCTGAATGTAGCCAGGTAATCGAGGCCAACCGACCCAGGACTAGAATTTGAAAAAAAATTAGTTAAGGAGTTTTTCAACTGAGTATTATGTCGAACAAGAAATGTTTTGAGAATCCTTAATTTTAAAAAGGAAACCAAAAAAAAGAGAAAATTGTATACAAACTGTCTAATTTACATAAAGTGTGTTTTTATAAGATCAATAACAACTGAAACATTACCGATGGTCTAAACAATCGTAGAAAGAATACAGTTTTCGTAACATTTCGACTTACTCATTCATTCTCACCAAGAACTTGTAAAATTAGAAATTTTATTATATAGGATTACACAAATTACTGGTATGGCAGTATTTTACGTCGTGGTCCACAAAAAAAGAAGTGGTATTCCAGATGAATAAGGCCATAAATCATAGAATAAAGCAAGTTTATAACGCACAACCGGCGATACTTTAGAGAAAGAATGAGTGAGAAAGAATGCAGTTCGTAATTATACTCACAATAGTCGTAATATGATTATTGAACGGAAGGTAGAGTGTAGCTTCGGTGTCTTCGTGTAAAGGCTTGTAAGCTAAATGAAAATGAATTAAGTATTAAAACCAACAAATTGGACAAAGGAACGATGCAAAGGCAAGGAAGAAACTTCCGCAAAACCCTGCTTTCTGTTGCTTACCTTTCCATTTGGGAAATCCGAAGGAAGATTATTGTATTACTTGATATTGAGGTATAGCTACTATTAAGTATAGCTATACTATTGGTATTCAAACTGAAGTATTAATAGCAACAAAATGGACACGGGAACGATGCAAAAGCAAGGGAAAAAATCCCCCGAAACCTGCTTTCTGTTGGGTCACTTCCGTTCTAATTTGGAAAATTCCAACGGAATATTATAATTATTTCCGGATATGGAGGTCATTTTAGTATAGAATTATATTGACGAAAATCAAAATACACACCTCATTAATTAACATTTCAGTAAATTCAAAATACTCTGCGCTGTTTTTATTATCAAAGGCAGGGATGTATTGGCGATTTATTATCCGGAATTCACCTTGGACAGATGCCTGAATATCTAGGAAGAATAACAGATTCATTTTCACGGATTCAGACAATTGCGGCCGAATTAACATGTTATTTTTGTCTTGTTGGCTAGTTTACGTTAGCTAGTTGACTTTTTAAGAGTAAACTCGAACTTGCTTGTGATTTGTTTTCCGTGGTGACCATTCTCTGTCCAATCGACCGTTTCAGGTTGCATGCAAGTTAACCCATCTCAGATGCTGTGACTATGGAATAGCCAATAAAACTTAACCATTTCGGACCATGTGATTTGAAATGGGTTAATTTGCATAGAAGCTGAAGAGGTCTATTAAACGAGACTCAGTTTCATAAGTGCTATCACACCGCAAGAGTTTAACCTAAGGCTATTCATAGGCCTAATTATCATAGGTTATAATTATATGATTGATTGATAAAGTGCACTAAATACTTAACCACTAGCCATGGCGTATAGTGTAAAATAGGTCGTAAATCATCAAACATTCTTGGTTACTTTGCACATACCAGTACATTTGTCATTAATAAATTGTTGGCCTGGACTGATACATTCGCAGCGGTATGCCCCAGGATAGTTGGTGCACGATTCACCCGCACCATTGCATATCTGTTTACATTCATCAATATCGTCTATACAGTAAGAAAATAGTTAAATTAGAATATTATATGTATCCCTGAGTCCTCTTTATATGAACAAAATTTCAAATCTCCACCGCCATGCAAAATAAGAGATTTATATAATTATTGTCTAGCAGGCGCATATCCAAAAATATCTGGGGTGAACGATGTTTTGTGACCGAATTATGTAATGTTTGTATTTGATATGATCCCGTTTATACTACACTCAGTAGCCGTTTTAGCTTGCATGCAAAGTAACCCATTTCAGATGAAAAGACTATGGAATAGCCAATAAAACTTAACCATTTCAAACCATGTGACTTGAAATGCGTAAATTAGCGTGTAAGCTGAAAAGGTCTATTCGCTGGTTAGGACTAAAATGGGTACGAGAAGAATATTTTTATTTTCATGTGTCTACCTTATATATTCATTTATTAATTTATATAATCTGAAAAAGACTCGAGTACCGAGTTGAAAGCTCAATATAAAAAACAATTTTAAATCAGGAGAACACTCCTTAATTGACAAACAAATATGCCTGGATTACAAATCTTTAAACATATATATCAGTATAATAATATAATTAACTCAGTAATAATATAATTTAGTAATAACATAATTAATTAACTCAGTAATAATATAATTTTCAAAATGCTTCTATTAAAAAAATAGAAAGTTTAATATCTTAATTGCTTCGATAAATTAAGTTACTTACCACACCGAGTTCCATCACCGTGATATCCATCAATACAATCACACTTGTACGTCCCGACTTTATTATGACAGACAGCGTTCAAGGAACAGTTATTAGGGCCATTGCACTCATCGATATCTTAAAAAAGATGCAAACCATATATTTTTTATAGGTATACTAGCTGGTGCATGTTCGAACTCAAACGGTGTAAAATTAATTTAAAGTATAAAATAGGTGGTCAGTCTGGAGAAAATTTGAATATGCACGGTTTTTATATGCGAGCTATAATTTGTGGGTTTGTTTTGGCATGTATACAGACCGATTGTCGATCGACCCGGTCAGCCATACGAAAATTCCGTTACTATAATTATTAGACAAAACTAGAAAAGCGGTTGCATTATTGTCTCGAGATACTAAAGTAGTTACTAATTAAAAGTAAACATATGATGGCATGAATTATCTGTCAAAAAATCACAATTTACGTTTTCATGCAATGTGTACCTGTACATTGGAAGCCGTTGCCTTCATAACCCAATCCACAGGAACATTTATACGAACCCGGGATATTGGCACAATTTGCATTTGCATCACAGGGATTTGATTTGCATTCATTGATATCTAGGAGGCAGGTTGTATTACAGTTAGCTTCCATGGTTCCTAAACCACAGTACTGCACTTTCGCTCACCAAAGCAATTGTTTGAAATTTCATTTGCATCAACAATGTAAAGTTTACCTGTGCATTTTTTCCCATTTCCATAAAAACCACCGAAGCACTTGCATTCATACGAACCATAAGTATTGGAACATTTTGCATTTACATTACAAGAATCTTGTCGGCATTCATCGATGTCTAAAAAAAGTCACATTATCGTCTTGGTTTTACAGTTATTGATGATTTAGAAAAATATATTCACGATCTTTGGTGTCGATAAACTGAAAATTTGTCCAAGAAGATTTCTTATAGCGTAGAAATCTTTCTGTGCATGCATTGCACTTTTTTACGATCGCTTCCTATAATTATAGTTGAGAGGAAGCCATGATGCCGCTTTAAATGACATAAACTTTTTCTGTTTATGTATTTCAGTTCCGTCACTAGCTTGCTTGAAAGGACATATTAATATATTCGTGTGTTACATTTTCAATTTATTTCCAAATTAATTGTTTTAACGGTCTATGAACATTAATAATTAAAATACGAATATGTCCACCCACTCATCGATACGAACGAGACTATTGCAGTACCTGTACACCACCATCCGTCGCCTTCAAAACCGACATGGCAAGTACAATTATACGAACCAGCGATATTGGTACAATTTGCTTTAACATTGCAGGGATTTGATTGGCATTCATTGATATCTAGGAAGGGCATAGAATTCATTTTCCTTGCTTTTGCCTAAGACCGGCTTGATATTCCTTAAATGTTTCTCATGTATTTTCCTTTACCACAGAAAAAGTATTTTCAGCTATAGTTGCTTACTATCGAGAAAACATATGGAACAACAATATAACTTCTTGCTGGATTACGTTTACTGAGAGGGGGGATAACGGGAAGATTTTATTCCAAATTGAATAAAGGGAGCGTTGAATCTGAATTTTCAACTGCTACCATTGAATCAGACATTCTTATCTATAGCCCTAAAAACTAGCAAGTGCTAAACTTGACATACGTTTATGGAATAGTTTATTTTCGTTGATAATTTCTCTTAAAAAAATTAAAACATTATGGCCAACAATCCGCCGATGTTTGGCGAATCATGCAGGTTAAAACAAACTTGCATTACCCTACCTGTACAGTTTATTCCATTTCCTCTAAATCCAGTTCGACAATTACAATAATATGAGCCAAAAGTGTTTACGCAGTGTGAATTTGAACCACATGGTGCGCCCTCGGTACATTCATTAATATCTGCAAAAAGTAATAAATTTCCTGTTCGACCTATACATTGTTGACTATCGTACGCGCTTATACTATACAAAATGAGAAAATCCAATTGAGGTCTAAGGTTAATTTCAGTTAAGTGCGGAGAAATTATCTGAGCTTGGGATGGAATAATAGTAAGATAAATTATTGTAATTAATAACCTCCTGGATCTAATCTAATTATAATCTCAATCTCAATAATCTAAATTCAATTAAAACATACACCCGTCCTGTTTTCGCAAAGAAGATTAATTAATCTAATCTATCGCTACATTTCAAAATACGGTCAATTTTTTATGCGGTTCACTATACCACCATTCTTATTTTGAAACCAAATAGTTTTTTATTCATATAACTTTTCAGGAAGGTCTTAAGGGCGAAAAACGCATTTGTTTAGGATCACGGTTTATCCGTCATGAAAAAATACGAACCATGCAGTGTCACTGAAGCCTCAAATTAATACTATTAGCTCCTCGTTAAATCCCACCCTTCTAGATTATATACACTATATATACACTTGTGATGCAAATGGGAGTCATAATGTTTCAAAGCGAAAATCTGTTAGAACCTCTCACTGGTTTTCGACACGGGCAATAAGAATTGTCAAATCAGTCAACGGGCATAACGTATGGAACTCCATATAAATTATAGCAATACCCAGGTGACCATTACCTGTACATATTGTTCCGTTTCCTTTATATCCAGGTTTACATACACAAACGTACGAACCATTAATTTTGGTGCAGTTTGCATAGGGACCACACGGAGCTCCAGAACATTTATTGGTATCTTTAAAGGCAATAGAACAATATATCAGTTATTTATATAATTCCATTAATTTTGTGCTATTTTCCGCATTCGTTTCTTCGGGTGGTTTAAGTCACCAAAATTTAAAGAAAATCCTTCATCACAAATTCTTCTCTCGAGGAGTAACGAACCGTCACATCCGAATGGAAAAAGTTGATAATACTGATCCCGCTTTCAATCAAGGTTGCCCTTAACCCCCTAACCCGTTCTCCAATTTAACTATTCATAATGTCGCTTGATATAACCTATATATAACCTGAGCTGTACAATGGAGAAATGAAATAGGTTTCGTACCAATTGTGCTTGTGTAGTTGAGAACAAACCCTCGTTTCTGAATACTACCATCCGTATGAAAAACGATGAAAAACTTTGAACTGGATGATATCATTTTTCTTGGCAATTGCTGCCCACAGAACCTCCCCAGTTTTTTCGCATACACAGAATTACCATCATAAACGTCCAAATAATCATATGGACAACTTGAACCGCCTTCCAGCTATAAATTGATCAATTTAATATTGAAATCAAAGTTAATATTTTTTATTTCACTCTAATATGTGTTAGATAAGCAATGATATAAATTTTACCGAGTCTACAGACTATCGTTTGACTGACTTCATTATATGAAGGAAATGAATACTACAGGGTGTATCAAAAAAAATGTCCCAAATGTAAAAATTCCGTTTTTCAGGATGTTTTGCAAAATTTGGCAATTTTTTGTGTTCCTAGAGATAGTTAAGACTTATCTGGTATACCTAGGCCAAGTTTGGTTTTTCATTAACAAAATTATGTTACCGGGGGGTGGTTCCTTTCCACTGATATTGATAGGGCTTGCACGCGAAAATGTGAAGCTGAAATTGGGATATTATTTAGCTGTTTAAAAGTAGGAAAGCTTTTTATTAAACTGTCAAAGTTTCAGGAAAAATAATGCATACTGGGAGCAACGCGCAACCCCTAAAGGTGACAAATATTTCATTGCGCGCAGTAGATTAAATGCATCGTTGATTTTAGCGTGACCGATTTCATGTAAAGCTGGGCAAATGAATAAATTAAAGCGAGAAACTGAACACAAAAACAAAGCGATTTATTTGTGATGTTAATCCTCAGCATGTCCACCATTTCATTCTAAGCAAACTGCGGCTTGTCTGAGCATACTAAACACTGAACAGCGAACCATTTGTCTGTCCATTCGCCTAGATTTGCCGGTGGTAGCGTAGGCGATTTGCAAGAAAGAATTTCGAACGAAATGGATAATTTGAGGCAGGACAGACAAGTGTGGTTCCGCCGTTCAGTGTTTACCATGCTCAGACGTGCCGCAGTTTGCTTAGAAAGAAATGGTGGGAATGTTGAGGATTAACATCAAGAATAAAAATCTTGTTATTAAATCGCTTCGTCTTCTTGTTCAGTTTCTCGCTTTAATTTATTCATTTGCCCAGCCTTGAATGAGATCGGTCACGCTAAAATCAACGATGCATTTAATCCACTGCACGCAATGAAATATTTGTCACCTTTAGGGGTCGCGTGTTGCTCCCAGTATGCATTATTTTTCCTGAAACTTTGACAGTTTATTAAAAAGCTTTCCTACTTTAAGACAGCTAAATAATATCTCAATTTCAGCTTCACATTTTCGCGCGCAAGCCCTATCAATATCAGTGGAAAGGAACCACCCCCCGGTAACATAATTTTGTTAATGAAAAACCAAACTTGGCCTAGGTATACCAGATAAGTCTTAACTATCTCTAGGAACACAAAAAATTGCCAAATTTTGCAAAATATCCTGAAAAACGGAAATTTTATATCTGGGATATTTTTTTTGATATACCCTGTATAGGTTTTGCATGGCGGAATGGTAATTATTATTAATTATCTGTGTGCAGGAAAATAAAAATATTTACATAACAATTGTTATTTATATAATTTAAAAAATTCATATACATGAATTTTGTATTAATCATGCTTCCAGGTATGTGGAATTATTTAATTTCAAAAACAGTTTTTAAAGCATAATTGAGTTTTGATAGAAAAAAAATCACTATAATGCTCTTAGCGTCATTTTATCACTAAATGAATAATTGACGTTTAGGTCTTTAAAAATTTTGCTCTAATTTGATGGTTTAAAGTTTTAAGACTTTACCTAAGCTGCGAGAACCTACAATCTATCTGCTTAATGCACCGGAAAAATACTGGTTTTGCGCAGGCTGTTGAATATATGTATTAGAAATATGTAAGAACATCTAGATGTAATGTGATACAGCGTGATACCACAGAAAATTTAACACCAGGGGGAAGAAGCAGGGGGTAATATTGATTCTTGTGCCTAAAGATTAACGTATACTGCATTCTAAACGGGAATGTATGAATATTGACGCCCTCACAACCTAAAATGGATGAACCTGGGATTATTCACTGAAATGTTTTTTTTAATCAGTTCATTGTTGTTAATTAAGGAAATATTGGTTAAAATTTGTTTAAATTTCGTAAAGGCATTATTTGTTATTGGACCATTTAAAACAAGGTTGGTGGAAATGTAGGAATAATTGTATAGATATGCGAAGATTGGCGAAAATTATTTCTTTGAAATAACGTTCATAATTTAGAGTGATCATTATTTGAATTATTATTTTTTTAATGAAAAAGGTTGCTTGATTTGTTATAATCTTTGACGACGTTTACCGCCATATCACTAGTATCAAAATGCTATTAAATTTAAGGAAAACACAGCAAATATAGGCCAGAAAATAATAATATACCTATTCTGTCAAGGTTGAAAAAGATATTGATTACGAAGGTAGCTAAATGCGACGTACCGAGAAGAATGAAAATTTCAGTGAAATATTTTTTCCATTGGTAGTAGAAATAATCCAACTGCAATCCGTGTTTCCAGGGTAATAGGATGGATAAAAAGGACTTGTGAGTCTGCCAGGAGTATACAGATAAGAATTTCCACATGAACCTGAATAAAAAAAAGTAGAATGGGGATAAACTTTAATTAATTCGTGCGAATATTGAATTATATGTGATTTTTTTCGTATCTAAGATATTCACTTCATCAGTAATCACGGTACCTGGAGTTGGTGTTGTGGGACGTGGCGTTGTGGAGACTGTAAAAGAAGAAAAAAGATTCTCGGATTCATTCTTCGGTTGTCAAATATGGAGAGTTATCCCATTATAGAAAAATTGTTTAGAATTTATTTGATAAATCCAATTTCTATTGTTGACTAGAATAAAAAAAATTAAAAAGTTACCTGGCATTATGTTAGTGGTGCTACCTGAAACAGAAAAAAGGTCAGTTTCTTCTATATATCTCTGACTTGCTAAAGTTCAAAACGTTATGAATAAGAGAAGATGTTTACACTATTTCGCCAATATGTTCAATGCAAAACAGATGTTTAGTATAGCATACCATTGCAAGCATAAAATGACATATTTTGAGCCAAAGGTACGAATTCATTGAAATTACTGAGTAGGAACACGTGATCTTTTGCAGGAGAGGAAGCCATTGTTTTGAGCTCTGAAACATCGATTCCTGAACCAACTCCAATTGAGAATATTACGACACCCATGTTTTTCAGTTGTTGAGAAGGATAATAAACATTTCCACTGCTTTTTCCATCAGTGAAAACTATTAAAATTCTCTTTATACCTATAAATAATTATCATTCCCAAATATTAGTAAGAAACATATGTAATTAAGCCTAAGAAATATACGGAGGATCAAAAACAACTTTTCGTGATCTATTTTTTTTTCACTTTTTCAGACAACCCAGTTTTTCTATATTTTTGATAGGCCCATTTTTCCCTTTTCTTCCCATTGCGAAATCCGTAGATTTGGTATGACTGTATAACACCGGCCTTTTAATTAAAGTAGCAAGTGATATAGATATAGAGCCTATAGAAGTAGTATACGAAAGCCAGGCTATTATAATTTTTCTATAAACTAGATATAAATTAATAGTCCGAACTGTTTTAAAGGTCTCGCTTCAGGAAAACATATTGATTTAAAATGAAATATCTTCTCTATAGCTGTGGGAGAGAGTATACTAGCTATAAAATCGGTAGAATTTTCGGCACTGACTATAGCTGTTTTGTAAAAGCAATTAAACTGTACCAACAAAATGGGAAAGCTTGGGGAAAAAATGGCTAAAAGGCTTAACAATTATTTATTATCCCCGAGGCGGTACGAAGCACCGGGCGTACTAGTTTCGTGCGGAGATTTTAATTACGCCCGGAAATGCAAATGCGAAATGAAAATTGTCCGCCATAATGTCATGGACGTTGGGCAGTTTTGTAAGATATGTGCATGCGTGAGTCTAAGACGAGTTAAAGCTGATGACTATAGCAAACGTTTGCAAACGTGCGATTGGCTAAATTAAAATTTTGGTTCGCGTCAGCATAACTGATATTTTTAATATAAAACTTTTTTAAATAATATTTTTCAGTTGGATGGTCTTGAAAATATACGAAAAATTTACTTGTCAAATTGAAAAATGTAATGTAAAAGATCCCTTCGAATAGAAAAATAAATGGCAAAAAATCTACGATTTTGAAGCGTTTTTGGAGTTGGTAGATTTTGTATTTTATTAAAGCATGCAATATTTTGTAAGTTTAAGTAATGGATTTATGAACAAATGTATGACACCTCTTTGAATTTATTCGTCAATTTCATTAAAATTATTTTGATTGGAAAAGCATTTATTTTCAATGGTGAATCTGTTTGAAAAGGAATTGAGATTTCGCTAAAAATTGTAGTACAGTATTTAAAACTATTCGTAGCACCATTATATTTATAGTTGAATCGGATATTTCAGAGTCGACCTTATAATTGTTAATGATATAAGATTTTACTTATACGGATCATTCAGTAAAACGAGTATTATAGAATTTCACTGTGGGAGATATATGTTTATTGCTTCAGGCGAGGGGATTGTGCATGCATGCATGTATTTCTAGTTATATCTAAATCATCATGAAGTATCGATACCTGACATCCGAGCACCATTCTGGGAATCAAACATAGCTGTATATGCTTTTGTTAAAGCCCTGCCAGTGTAAGTGCTTCCTCCATTCATGTATTGAATGTTATCTATTGCGGAATAAAGATCTTGTCGCGTTCTGAATTTTCGAGAAAATCCAAAATGTAATGTTGGCCATGTCGCGTACGTTATCACCGACACTCTTGTTTCGTTTTGAGAAATTTTGAAATAATCCGTAAAATCTTTTATAAACGATTTGCTTTTGTTAAAATTAGCAAGTCCAATGCTGCCAGAACTGTCCATTACGAACCCAAGATCGATCTCTTTTGTGCAGATTGTTGCGTTTCTACCTGTAAAACGTGATAGATAAGTTAAAACAATACACTAATGTACTTACAGTGGCTAGAGGAACGTGCTGAGAGTCGAATGACCGTCTCTAGCTATAGATTCTTATTACAAGTTATATTGATATAGATTAACGTTTGTTTAGTAAAATTCCGAAGGCAGTTATTAAAAATTCTTGCATCTGACTCTTCTAAAGTTCTCAGATTATTACCTAAGCGGATTTTTCAAAATGCCAGCGAGTTGTTATAATTTTAAGGTATCTGGCGATGAAATAATTTACTTTAGCGAAAATGTTGTGTCTATAGCCAAAAATAAGTAACGCTGTCAATATATTCATTTGTGTTTGTGAAACGAAATGTATTTTTTGGAACAGATTCGGTTTTTTCTAAAAATAACCTTTGGAATTATGTTAAAACAATTATTCGCCGAAGGCGAGATAAATATCTTTGAGTAAAATCCTCCTCTCGATTTTTATCAACGATGTTCACGTTGCATTTGGCAAGTAATTGGTAAAGAACGGTAAATCTCGATAGTGATGGTTCACAGACAATCGGTGAAAGCTTTATCATGGTGATCGCTGGTGAATAATTACTTTAGTCAGAGATATCAGTGAAATTTTTCTATAATCATATTAAATCTCTACTGTACATGTTATTCCATCTCCAACATAACCGTCGTTGCAAGCACATCTAAATGAGCCAATGGTGTTGCTACAAGACGCGTTACTATTGCAGTTGTTAGTTCCATTTTCACATTCATTCACATCTGAAATGCAACATTGATATTGTTATTATGCAATGTCAAAAGCAGTCTTTCTGTAATATACATAAATACAGAGTTTCCGAAAACATACCAGTACATGTCAATCCATCTCCGGTGTAACCAATGTTACAAAAGCAGCGAAACAAGCCTTTGGTATTATGACACGATGCATGAATATCGCAGTGGTGACATTCATAAATATCTGAAAGGTATATGATGTTCGGAATGCATGTAATTTTCGTAGTAATATAAATCATAGATTATTATGATTTTTCCTTAAAAAGTAGGAATTATTGGAGGATTAGCGCAACAGTTTTTCTCTGAGCAAGAGAATAGGAGAAACGCTGAACAATCACGTAAAATTCACGAAAAAGGGACCTTATGCGCTATGAATCAATTTTTTGTCTAGGCGATAAAAAGGCAAATTTTCAGAGCAAAAAAAATATTAAAATAGGTAAAATTGCGAAGTTTGGCTGCGAAATTTTGTAAAGTAGGCCGTATAGCTTTACGAAGTTTCGAATTTTATATACTTTTGTATTACTGTGCAGGAAATTTTCCGCATTTTACAAAAAGCTAAACATTGCGATTGTACTAATTCCACATGCTCTTTTTAGCTGTGATATGTATTTCCTTTTTGTTGCCGAGACCTAAACTTACTCTATTGCGCATGCATATGGAAATAAGACGCGGCTTCCATGTAATTTTCACTAGTTTCGTAAAATCACTGTTAAATTTATTAGCACCTCGTCACAACTTGTTCCGTGATTAAAATTATTCTAATGAAGTCTTAATTAATGATTTAAGAATACTCTATTTCTCTAGAGAAATTCGTGTTCCGAATGATGGTGTTTGAAAATTTGGCGATTCCAATTATAAAAATTAAACATTTCGGGTACATTACCGCAATTCTCTTAGTAACTAAACTGAAGTACTGTATTTGCCATTGTTTTAGAATATAATATACAATTAAGAAGCTATAGCTTTCCTCCTCTTAAGCAGAAATTGTATCATGCATTGCAAAAAAAAACATTATTTTATAATTTCTTTAATAAAGTGAAAAATATTTATAATGATAGATATTTAAAAACATTACCGTTGCAAGCCGAATGTGAGATATTCTTTTCCAAAGTTGATAGTTCGTGAAAATTGGACAAAAGGAACACGTGGTTATTTGCAGGAGGAGAAGCCATCGTTCTCAACTCTGACATACGGATTCCAGACCCTATTCCGATAGAATATATCACAACACCGATATTCTTGAGTTGCTGGGAAGGTTGGTATACATGTCCACTGCTCTGACCATCCGTGAAAACGATCAAAACTTTCTTTACACCTAAAGATGTTTCGCTTGTATTACACTACTATATTACAAGTTATTGGAAAGATTTTGAAAGGGAGAAAGAGCAAAAGGAAAGGCTAAAAGTGTAATAAATATTGTATCTAGAAAGTTTAAAAATGTTAAAATAAAGTGGTGTACAAAAGTTCAATTCGCTCCGGTTATTTAATTTCTATAAACATGCATGTTACAGGCTTACAGCATTCTGATACCAAACAAACCTGTGAGTCGGGAACCGTTTTTGGCATTAAACATATCTGTATACGCTCTTAACAACGCAAGATGGGTGTTCGTTCCCCCTCCACTGTATGGAATGTTATCTATTGCTGAATAAAGATCTTGTCGGGTTCCAAATACTCGAGAAAAGGGAAAATGTAGTGTGGTCCATGACGCATATGACATCACTGATACTCTCGTGCTGTTTTGAGAAATCGTGAAAAAGTTTGTGAGATCTTTCACAAAAGATTTCGTTTTATCATAACTGTAACGGCTAATACTGCCAGAACTGTCCAATATAAATCCAAGATCAATCCTTTCTGTACATATTGTTATTTTTTCACCTAAAAATTAAATGAAAAATTTAAAAGTGTAAATGCCCCAACAGAATGTGAGGCTCGTTAAACTACCGACAAATTCTGGGCATGACAAGGTTAAATTAATGGTATTCGTACATAATTATTGGTATTCGTACACAATTTCATTAGTGCTCAGGCTACCAATACGTATGCCTGGCACAAAGGAAATTGGCACAGGTAGCTACCCGTTTTACCAGTGCGGGCTAATAATTTGGGTGTAGTGTAAACGGGGCTTTGGTTGTCATTGTATAATGTGGAGATATACGATTTTTATTGTTGAGTGTTATTAAACTGCATGCAGGCCAACTAATTTTGCATGGGTGTTCATTAAATATCTATTCCGGCTTCTTCTCCGTGACATTTTTTAGACACGTATAAAGATGTACGTAACAAGAATAATTGAAGAAAAACGTGTTTTAGAAAGATTTATACATGCTTGTCAAAAATTTTGTATTAGTTCGATGCACATAGATTTAACAAGAATATTAAAAGAAAATACTGTTTTCAAGAAGATTTGTTCTTGTTTATCAAATATCTTGCATTAGTTTGCTGAATGTTGTTTTTAATTGTATTAAAAATATACTTTACATGTTATTCCATCGCCAATAAAGCCAATATTGCAAACACAGTTAAACGAGCCATTTGTATTGTTGCAAGACGCGTTACTATTGCAGTTGTTTATTCCAATTTCACATTCATTCACATCTGAAATGCAACATTTACAACAAAGAACATCATCATGCAGCCTTTGCACAAATTCAAAAGTAACCGAGGGTTTATCATGGAATATAACAGTACTTTCATAGGTTATTCGTTATTTGTTATCTTGCATGAATCTTTAAAAAGTTACCTTCACATTTCTTTCCATCCCCAGTATACCCGTTATTGCAAAAGCAGTGAAACGAGCCGTTCGTTTTGATACAAGACGAATGAATATCGCAGTCGTAACATTCATGTACATCTGTATATAAGAGAATTAATATTTTCAATAAATAATAAATGAATTATGGCTTGAATCACTCAAATTTAGCAGTCAGTATTCAATTCGCAGTTCTAAGGTAAAGCAGGTGGCAACCAATGTTATTAAAAAAATTATGTTAGGGATAATTTCAAAGGCGCTTTTTCTCGGCGGTATGCGACGTATTTCCAAAGAAGGAGGCGAAATATTTCGCATTTCGCTTGAAAACGTAGCCCGTGGAATTTGTGCCCTACATAAGAAATTTAATGTGACGACTGCTTTTATGCGCATTCAAGTTATGAATCTAAATTTCCTGGAAAATAATACTCTTAGCAGGTGCTTTCACTTCGAAAACAATAGGAAACATTCTACGTTTTAGTTCTGAATTTTAACAAAAGTTGAAACATTTACCATTGCATGCAGAATATGAGATATTCCTCTCCAAAGTTGATAGTTTATGAAAATGGCTCAAAAGGAATACGTGATCACTTGCAGGAAGAGAAGCCATTGTTTTCAACTCTGACAGATCGATTCCTGAACCTATGCCAATAGAATATATTACAACGCCGACATCTTTTAGTTGTTTTGATGGTTGGTATACATGTCCACTGCTTTTGCCGTCCGTAAAAACAATTAACACTTTCTTTATACCTAAAGATATTTAACAACTATATTAAACGTAATATTAGCAATAATTAAAAAAAAGGGAGAAGACAATACCACAGGCAAACCAGGGTCTACAAATTATTATGTTATCTTGATTAAGAGTAGGGAGGAATTAAATATTTGAAGCTCTAAAATTCTGTTCACAGTTTTAAATTTTGTCCGATCCAAATGACTTCTGATTTATGAAGATATTTAATAATATTATAGCCAGTGGACTTGCGATGTATGGGGGCAGCAAATTAGCTAAAAGTTTAAACCAACGCATTACTGCTTTTTCAATAACCTGACTTCATTCCATACGTCAAAAGTGAATTGGATTCAACAAAAGTGGATCGTGTAAACAGGTCTTAATGCTGCTGCAAAAAAATCAATGCGCATGCATGCAGTTGAGTAGCGTAGCCAGCCTGACGATTTGTTCCGCTATGCTACTACTTGGTGTTCATTGACGAAAATAAATTTGTAAAAATACGAATAATTGTAATAGCTCAAAATTTACATAGCGGGACAAAATCGTCAGGCTGGGTACGCCACTGATGCATGCAGTTACGGAAGCTAACAAATGCAGGTATAGTTGTCAAAATCCTTAGGGGTACATCTAGAGTCAATCTCAACCCAATATAATCATTAAACACATAAAGTCGTTTTCCCAAGATGATAGCAATAATATTGAACAAACCTGAAAAACGGGAACCATTTTTGGCATTAAACATATCTGTATACGCCCTCGTCAGTGCCTGATGGGTGTTCGTTCCCCCTCCATTGTATGGAATGTAATCTATTGCTGAATAAAGATCTTGTCGGGTTCTGAACACTCGAGAAAATCGAAAATGTAATGTGTTCCACGTCGCATATGATATCACTGACACTCTAGTGTTCTTTTGAGATATTTGGAAATTGTTCGTAATATCTTTCACAAAAGATTTGGTTATATCAAAATTATATCGCCCAATACTGCCAGAACTGTCCAAAATGAACCCGAGATCAATCCTTTCTGTGCATACCTTTTCACCTATAATGAGTTAAGAATGTGGTTGGTATGGCAAACTTTTAAGTGTCTGAAGTTTTATAAAAATTTGATAGCTCATTTTTTAATTTTATCTTATTATTCCATACTAGAAAATTTGATTGCCGTACGATGTTTTAAATATTTTTTGAAAAGCAAAATGTCTTGAATGATCCCATGCCTGTGACTAAACAGGAGAACAGCCCTGTGTTTTAAGAGGTTTGCAACGGCATAATAACTCAAAATACATGCGTGCAATATTGAGATTCATAATCATTTTTATATCTATTATACATACACGTTAATCCATCTCCAAAATAACCCATGTTGCAAACACAGTTAAAAGAGCCAATGGTATTGTTGCACGACGCGTTACTATCGCAAATGTTAGTTCCATTTTGACATTCATCCACGTCTGAAATATAAAATCAGCAACAAATACAAACATTAATTTTGCACAAAATATAAGATAAGATATTTAGTGGATATTACAAAAGAGAAATTAAAACAATATCCTGTTTAATTTCTAGAAAAAAATACAACCATATTTTAAAAAGTTACCTTCACATTTTTTTCCATCCCCAGTATACCCGTTATTGCAAAAGCAGTGAAACGAGCCGTTCGTTTTGATACAAGACGAATGAATATCGCAGTCGTAACATTCATGTACATCTGTATATAAGAGAATTAATATTTTCAATAAATAATAAATGAATTTTGGCTTGAATCACTCAAATTTAGCAGTCAGTATTCAATTCGCAGTTCTAAGGTAAAGCAGGTGGCAACCAATGTTATTAAAAAAATTATGTTAGGGATAATTTCAAAGGCGCTTTTTCTCGGCGGTATGCGACGTATTTCCAAAGAAGGAGGCGAAATATTTCGCATTTCGCTTGAAAACGTAGCCCGTGGAATTTGTGCCCTACATAAGAAATTTAATGTGACGACTGCTTTTATGCGCATTCAAGTAATGAATCTAATTTCCTGGAAAATAATACTCTTATGCAGGTGCTTTCACTTCGAAAACAATAGGAAACATTCTACGTTTTAGTTCTGAATTTTAACAAAAGTTGAAACATTTACCATTGCATGCGGAATATGAGATATTCCTCTCCAAAGTTGATAGTTTATGAAAATGGCTCAAAAGGAATACGTGATCACTTGCAGGAAGGGAAGCCATTGTTTTCAACTCTGACAGATCGATTCCTGAACCTATGCCAATAGAATATATTACAACGCCGACATCTTTTAGTTGTTTTGATGGTTGGTATACATGTCCACTGCTTTTGCCGTCCGTAAAAACAATTAACACTTTCTTTATACCTAAAGATATTTAACAACTATATTAAACGTAATATTAGCAATAATTAAAAAAAAGGGAGAAGACAATACCACAGGCAAACCAGGGTCTACAAATTATTATGTTATCTTGATTAAGAGTAGGGAGGAATTAAATATTTGAAGCTCTAAAATTCTGTTCACAGTTTCAAATTTTGTCCGATCCAAATGACTTCTGATTTATGAAGATATTTAATAATATTATAGCCAGTGGACTTGCGATGTATGGGGGCAGCAAATTAGCTAAAAGTTTAAACCAACGCATTACTGCTTTTTCAATAACCTGACTTCATTCCATACGTCAAAAGTGAATTGGATTCAACAAAAGTGGATCGTGTAAACAGGTCTTAATGCTGCTGCAAAAAAATCAATGCGCATGCATGCAGTTGAGTAGCGTAGCCAGCCTGACGATTTGTTCCGCTATGCTACTACTTGGTGTTCATTGACGAAAATAAATTTGTAAAAATACGAATAATTGTAATAGCTCGAAATTTACATAGCGGGACAAAATCGTCAGGCTGGGTACGCCACTGATGCATGCAGTTACGGAAGCTAACAAATGCAGGTATAGTTGTCAAAATCCTTAGGGGTACATCTAGAGTCAATCTCAACCCAATATAATCATTAAACACATAAAGTCGTTTTCCCAAGATGATAGCAATAATATTGAACAAACCTGAAAAACGGGAACCATTTTTGGCATTAAACATATCTGTATACGCCCTCGTCAGTGCCTGATGGGTGTTCGTTCCCCCTCCATTGTATGGAATGTAATCTATTGCTGAATAAAGATCTTGTCGGGTTCTGAACACTCGAGAAAATCGAAAATGTAATGTGTTCCACGTCGCATATGATATCACTGACACTCTAGTGTTCTTTTGAGATATTTGGAAATTGTTCGTAATATCTTTCACAAAAGATTTGGTTATATCAAAATTATATCGCCCAATACTGCCAGAACTGTCCAAAATGAACCCGAGATCAATCCTTTCTGTGCATACCTTTTCACCTATAATGAGTTAAGAATGTGGTTGGTATGGCAAACTTTTAAGTGTCTGAAGTTTTATAAAAATTTGATAGCTCATTTTTTAATTTTATCTTATTATTCCATACTAGAAAATTTGGTTGCCGTACGATGTTTTAAATATTTTTTGGAAAGCAAAATGTCTTGAATGATCCCATGCCTGTGACTAAACAGGAGAACAGCCCTGTGTTTTAAGAGGTTTGCAACGGCATAATAACTCAAAATACATGCGTGCAATATTGAGATTCATAATCATTTTTATATCTATTATACATACACGTTAATCCATCTCCAAAATAACCCATGTTGCAAACACAGTTAAAAGAGCCAATGGTATTGTTGCACGACGCGTTACTATCGCAAATGTTAGTTCCATTTTGACATTCATCCACGTCTGAAATATAAAATCAGCAACAAATACAAACATTAATTTTGCACAAAATATAAGATAAGATATTTAGTGGATATTACAAAAGAGAAATTAAAACAATATCCTGTTTAATTTCTAGAAAAAAATACAACCATGTTTTTTTAAGATCATACCCGTGCATGAATATCCATCTCCACCAAAACCAACGTTGCAAAAGCAGTGAAACGAGCCATTAGTTTCAAGACACGATGCATGAATATCGCAGTGGTAACATTCATAATCATCTATACAATGTAATGTTCAGAATTAATTGCCGCTGAAATGTAAATTAAAATTAATTTATAGCGGTACTCGTCTATTGATCGTAGTTAACAGTGTTTCCGGCCTGGCCATGAGAGTAGAAGAGGGGGTCCTGACAATTTTGGGATGTGTATTTTCCGAATTTGTTGTTAATTTGAACACATTTTGAAACATTACCATTACAAGCCGAATGTGAGATATTCTTTTCCAAAGTTGATAGTTCGTGAAAATTGGACAAAAGGAACACGTGGTTATTCGCAGGAGGAGAAGCCATCGTTCTCAACTCTGACAAATGGATTCCAGACCCAATTCCGATAGAATATATTACAACACCGATATTTTTGAGTTGCTGGGAAGGTTGGTATACATGTCCACTGCTCCGACCATCCGTGAAAATAATCAAAACTTTCTTTACACCTAAAGATATTTTGCTTGTATTACACTACGATATTATTGGAGAGATTTTGAAAGAGAGAGAGAGATCAAAAGAAGAGACAAAAAATGTAATAAATATGATATCTAGAAAGTGAAAAAAATGCTAAATTTGCAGCATTCTGATACCAAACAAACCTGTGAGTCGGGAACCGTTTTTGGCAATAAACATATCTGTATATGCTCTTAACAACGCAAGATGGGTGTTCGTTCCCCCTCCACTGTATGGAATGTTATCTATTGCTGAATAAAGATCTTGTCGGCTTCCAAATACTCGAGAAAAGGGAAAATGTAGTGTGGTCCATGTCGCATATGACATCACTGACACTCTTGTGCTGTTTTGAGAAATCGTGAAAAAGTTTGTGAGATCTTTCACAAAAGATTTCGTTTTATCATAACTGTAACGGCTAATACTGCCAGAACTGTCCAATATAAATCCAAGGTCGATCCTTTCTGTACATATTGTTACTTCTTCACCTAAAAATTGAATGAAAAATTTAATATATAAATCCTCCAACTGATTGTGAGGCCCGTTTAAACTACAGTCAATGGCACGGTTAAATTAATGGTATTCATACACAATTATTGGTATTCGTAAACAATTTTATTAGTGCTCAGGCTAGCAATACGTACGCTCGGTGCGAAGGATATTGGCACAGGTACCCCATTTAGCCCTTCGGGTTTATAATTTGGCTAATAAGATTATTATTATAGTGTAAACGAGTCTGTGGTTGTCATGGTAATGTAGCGATATTCGATTTTTATATATTGTCGAGTGCAAACTGCAGTAAAGCAGCAATAAATAAATTTTCCGGTTTTTCTGAGTAATTTTTTTAGACACGTGTATACAGATGCATGTAACAAGAATAATTGAAGAAAAACGTATTTTAGGGGTATTTACACATGCTTATCAAAAATTTTGTATTAGTTTGATGCACATAGATGTATAACAAAAATAATCTTAGAAAATAGGTTTTCAGAAAATTTATCAAACATTCTGTATTAGATTGCTGAATGTGGTTTTTAATTGCATGAAAAATGTACTTTACATGTTATTCCATCGCCAATAAAGCCAATATTGCAAACACAGTTAAACGAGCCATTTGTATTGTTGCAAGACGCGTTACTATTGCAGTTGTTTATTCCAATTTCACATTCATTCACATCTAAAATGCAACATTTGAAACGAAAAACATCATCAGCTTATGCAAAAATTAAAAGTAACCGAAGGTTTATGGAATGTAACAATATTTTCATCAGTTTTTTTCACAAGTTATTAATTGTTATTTGTCATCATGAATTTTTAATAAGTTACCTTCACATTTCTTTCCATCCCCAGTATACCCGATATTGCAAAAGCAGTGAAACGAGCCGTTCGTTTTGATACAAGACGAATGAATATCGCAGTCGTAACAGTCATGTACATCTGCAAGAAAATATTTGCAATTTTGGCGCAATAAATTAAATTATGGCTTGAGAAATTCAAATTTAGCAGTCGTGGTATTCAATTCGCATGTTCTAAGTTAAAGCAGGCGGCAACCAATGTAATTAAGGAAATAATGTTAGGGCCTAATTCCAAGCGCGCTTTTTCTCTGCGAAATGCGAAATATTTCGCCTGTTTCTTTTGTATTTCGGCTACTTGAATAAATTAATTCGGCTTCATTGCTCACAAATCAAAAGAAGCGCGCGAAATATTTTGCATTTCGCTTGAAAAATTCAGCCCGTGGAGTTTTATGGGGCTTTACACGAGAAATTTAATGTGACGACTGCTTTTACGCGCATACAAGTTAGGTACCTAAATTTCCGGAAAAATATTATTCTGATAGAAGTGGTTTAACTCCGTAAATAATTCCGAAACATTCTACCTATTAGTTTTGAATTTTAATACAGGTTGAAACATTTACCATTGCAAGCGGAATATGAGATATTCCTTTCCAAAGTTGATAGTTTATGAAAATGGCTCAAAAGGAACACATGATCACTTGCAGGAAGGGAAGCCATTGTTTTCAACTCTGACAGATCGATTCCTGACCCAATACCAATAGAATATATTACAACGCCGACATCTTTTAGTTGTTTTGATGGTTGGTATACATGTCCACTGCTTTTGCCGTCCGTAAAAACAATTAACACTTTCTTTATACCTAAAGCATAATTATATTAAACGCAATTTTTGCAATGATTTTAAAAAAAGGGAGAAAACAATACCACAGGAAAACCAGGGTCTACAAATTATTATATAATCTTGATTAAATGTTGGGAAAAAATTAATATTTGAAGGGCTAAAATTCTGTTCACAAGGCGAAATTTGTCGGATCCAATTCACTTCTGATGTATGGGGATCTTTAATAATATTATATCCAATTGACTTGCGATGTATGTGGGCAGCAAATCAACTTAAAGTTTGAACCAATCAACGTCGTACTGCTTTTCGCCCTACTGGATCGTGTAAACATGCCTTAATGCTGCCGCAGAAGGTCAATGCGCATGCAGTTACGCAGGCGCACGCATGGAGGTATAGTCAAAATCTTTAAGGGTAACCTGGAATGACCGGAAAATATCAAATCAATATAATCATTAAACACATAAAATCGTTTTCCGAAGAGTATAGCAATAATATTGAACAAACCTGAAAAACGGGAACCATTTTTGGCATTAAACATATCTGTATACGCCCTCGTCAGTGCCTGATGGGTGTTCGTTCCCCCTCCATTGTATGGAATGTAATCTATTGCTGAATAAAGATCTTGTCGGGTTCTGAACACTCGAGAAAATGGAAAATGTAGTGTGTTCCACGTCGCATATGATATCACTGACACTCTAGTGTTCTTTTGAGATATTTGGAAATTGTTCGTAATATCTTTCACAAAAGATTTAGTTGTATCAAAATTATATCGCCCAATACTGCCAGAACTGTCCAAAATGAACCCGAGGTCAATCCTTTCTGTGCATACTTCTTCACCTATATAAGTTAAGAATGTAGTTGGTATGGTAAACTTTTAAGTGTCTGACGTTTTATAAAAATTTGATAACTCATTTTATCTCTTATTATTCCATACTGGAAAATTTGGTTGCCGAACGACGTTGTAATTTTTTTTGGAAAACAAATGTTTTTAGTGTTCACATGCCCGTGACGAAACAGGGGAACTGCAATGTGTTTTGAGAGGTTTGCGACGGCATAATAATTTAAGATACATGCATGCAATATTGAGATTCATAATCATTTTTATATCTACTATACATACACGTTAATCCATCTCCAAAATAACCCATGTTGCAAACACAGTTAAAAGAGCCAATGGTATTGTTGCACGACGCGTTACTATCGCAAATGTTAGTTCCATTTTGACATTCATCCACGTCTGAAATATAAAATCAGCGACAAATGCAAACATTGATTTTGCACAAAATATAAGTTATTTGGTGGATAAAACAATATTTTATTTTATTTCTGGAAAAAAAACACCAACATAAGATTTATTCACTTCTGAAATATATTAAAAAGGATATAAGAATATAACATCAGTGTCAAAAACAAAATCAGTCTGAGTAAACACCGCAGAAATTGGTCTTTATAGAGTTTTCGCACAAAAATCCAATCACTGATTCCAAAATGCGCATTTCAGTATCACTACACAATTATCAAAAGTTGTTCAAGTTGTTACTTCAAAGGTTGTTAAAGGGTCTTAATTTCGAGTGAAGTTGCATGTACATAACTCAGTTCAAGCCAGGAATATTTGAGAAAAATGAATGAATTATCGGTCCTCTGGCAGGAATCGAACCTGCGTTTATGCGATGCCGGTACGGTGCTCTCGCCACTGAGCTACCGAGGTAGCAGACAAAAGCAAGCGTGATTAGTGTGTATGTTAAGGTAGTAACGCCGAGCATAGGTTAGGATTGCTACCTTGAAATACACACCGATATCGTTTTAATCTAAATTTTAAAGCATGAAGAATATCACTGAAGAGAAACACACCTGTGCATGAAGATCCATTTCCAGTGAAACCGTTGTTGCAAGAGCAGTGGAGTGTGCCATTGGTATTAATACACGACGCTTGCTTATGGCATTTGTAACATTCATTTTCCTCTAAAAGGCAATAAGGAATTATACTACCAGAAACTATAGCATCATGCGGGCTTTAAGTCTTGCTTTAAAATTCTTAACGTAAAATACATCAAATCACGTCACCCTGAACCATGTGAATAATTTGCTACCCTCTATAAATAGGTACATGGTCAGTACGTGTCTGTAATCCTTCTGCGTTCAATGCATTTACCTAGGTGGTTTCTAAAAATTGGCTTATTTCTTATGTTAATATGTTTAAGTAATGCATATAGGCTTTTGTTGCTTAACCAGGTGTTATTTTGCTACCAGATAATGCATGTTGCTCTTAATAGTGGAGATTAGGACATTTTTGAAAACAGGTATCCCTGTGTTATACTAAAAAAAACTTTCAGAGAAATGAGGAGCGAAGCCAATTTTTTATTTGCAAGCCTAATATAGTTTCAATTCCTTCACGTTTAAGTACTAGTTGCAAGTATGTTTTTATTAAAAATGCGTCCACTACAAATCAAAACATTCGGTGGGAAGAAATATAACCAAAATATCTTATGCTCTAAATGACTTGACTGCTAGTTATTCTCCAGGTTTTCCACTTTGCGTATTGTACGAAATGCTACTGGACAGCGTGTAATAAATAAAGTAGTACATATTCTTCGTATGTTAGACATAAAACTGAACATATATCCAAAAAATACCATTGCAAGCCGAAGACGAGATATTTTGTTCCAAAGTAGATAATTCCTGAAAGTTGGGCAAAAAGAACACGTGATCTTTTGCAGCAGGAGAAGCCATTGTTTCCAGCTCCGAGACATCGACTCCAGTTCCAATTCCAATTGAATATATTACGACACCAATGTTTTTTAGTTCTTTTGAAGGTTGTTCGACACTTCCTTGACTTTGGCCATCAGTAAAAACAATCAAAATTTTCTTTGTTTCTGAAATCAACAAGAATAATTGGCGAGCATGCAAATTATCCACAAGCAGTTTTGCAAGGTTTTAGGAGAATATAGAATACTGGGCGTACAAATGAATGGATTAATGTCCTGTGTGCAAAAAGCAGTATTATAAACCTCGATTCTATAAATTATTGACACTTTACAAACCTGGAGACTGGGCGTCATTCTTGCCATTAAACATATCTTTATAGGCTTGCATCAACGCTTGGTGGGTGTTAGTTCCTCCTCCAAGGTACGAAATGTTATCTATTGCTGTATAAAGATCTTGTGGGGATACAAATTTTTGAGAAAAGAAGAAATGCAATCTTGACGTTGTTGCATATGATATCACGGATACTCTTGTGTTATTTTCCGAGATCTTAAAATAGGTAATAAGATCTTTCACAAAAGATTTTGTTTTACCAAAATTAGTTTGCCCGATACTACCAGAACTGTCCAATAGAAATCCAAGGTCAATTCGCCTGTTGCATTGTGTTGCATTTCGACCTTAAACGTATCAGTACAACATAATTTAATGCATGTGAGGTAGCGTGATGAATTTTTAATAAATATTTTACAATTTTTTGCTCTAAAGTGCATAGGAGTGACTAAAATGATTTTGTGACCAAAATTTAAAAAGAAAAACATATTTCAGTTCCGTAGAATTGCGATGAAAAGCAGCTGATTATGAGAAGAAATCACATCTTTTCCCTTTGAAAATTTTGCATGAAGGAACACAACATGTCTTGAAAATATCGACGCCTCTCAACCGACATTGTGTAACATTTTGATTAAACATTTTTTAGTTATCGAGTCTATAAGATACTCTTCATAGGTTTTTTACGTCAGCTTTATGCGAAAGCACGTTTTGTGGGATATTAAATGCTATTCATTGTCTGTCAAATTTTTTCCGTTATAATACTATTTTATTGAATAATCAGACAGTTTCCATGTATAGATTTTCAATGATCTCATGTTAAAGCTGTACGTTAACTTACGAAATTTATTTGAGAAATTCAAAACGAATCCTTCTTTTCGTATACTACCATCCGAGTGGAACGCAATAAAGAGGTGGGATCCAGATGATGTCAGACTTCGTGGTAACTGGCTTCCACAATATCGCCCGAGTTTTGATGCATACGAGGAGTCACCATCATAAACCTCCAAATAATCATAACTACAACGGGAATCACTTTCCAGCTAAAAAGTGAAACAAAAACAAATAATGGTTTGCTGGCCGTATCAAAGTACATAAAAGGCATTTATTCCACTGGCGGAATTGATCGATATAGAAGAAAGCAGCGCGAATGTGCATATCGAAAGAATTAACACCATTTGAAACCTTAAAAAAAATTAATGTTTTTAAAATAAATTTAGATTTTTAGACAAGAGAGCAGAATATATGGTTTAACATAGCTAGTAAAAAAACAAGTATGTTTATTTGGAAATACCCACACGAGCGGTTCAATCCGAAATTATTCATAACCTGATTTCTATGCGTGTTGTTTCTCTCCATGATTAAATTTAAACGGGTATTATGACCTACCGAAAAAGATGAAAACGTTAACAGAATCCTTGATCCATTGGTGCCAGAAATAATCCATTTGCAGTCTATAGAGTTAGGGTAATAACTGGGATAATGAGGACTTTTTAGTGTAGCAGGAGCATACAGGTGGCTTTTCCCACATGGACCTACAAGAAAAGAGAAAAGCATTGAAAAAGGTATTTCAAGTTTGATATTATTTAATGAATTTATTTGATATTATACTTTTTCATAACAATATGGAGTGTTACCTGGAATTTTTGTTAGAGACGTAGCGGTGCCTTCAAAAGAAGAAAGACAAATCCCGGTTTATATTATACACCTAGTACATTGAAGTAGAGTTTAATATCTTGATAAGAAGGTACGCTATGTTTTCTTACTATTATAGGAAATTTAATATAGGACACCATTAAGGGAGAAAAGAAACCAGTACAAGCCGACAATTTTACCAAATAAAAAACAAAATTAATATATTAATCTGACTTCTTCAAACCCAGGGTGAATGTTAAAATAACTCGAGAAAGAATTTTAATACGTCAACAACTCCTTATAAGGATATCCTAGTCGGGAAACAGCTAATGAATTGGCAAATATTGTTACCATGGCAACGAAAAACAACGTGTTGCCAGACGAAAGAAGGCGTAAAAATCCAAAATAAGAAGTTTTTCGGGCATGTTTTTATTTTTAACAGTGTTTTGGCCTTTTCCAGAAAGGTTTCACACCTTTTAGCCGCACGTTGCTTTGGGTAATTTTGCCCTTTTGTTTGCATTTTTCACAGCGGGCCAGACTCATTTCACAGCGGGTGTGATTACGGCTCGCTGTGAAACGCTTTTCAGATATTCAGATTGCTTCATTAAACAGTTAAAAAATAAGTCGTGATACTTCAGATGTCGTGATATACTTGCTACAGTCATTTATATCCGTGAAGTCAAAACTGGTGTCTAAATCAAATACAGCATTGTGTAAAAAAGTGCGAACGTTGATGATTGTCTGTTTGAAGACTTTTGTGCTAGGCTGATGCTAAAAGATTTTAGGGTGCGCAAATTATATAAGTCCATTCTGCTCGCGCGCCTTCTTTATTGTCCTGTTACGCGTTTAATGTTGACGAGTAAAATCATGCTTGCAGTCATACATTTGAGAGCTTTTTTCTTATACATTTGTTTTTAGTGCTGCTTGTTACCCGAAGGTGTTCATACAACGGGATAAACATGGTTGCTGCGGTGTACAATTCCGTTGCTTTATCACTACGTTTGGACGTAATATTTTCGAGAAGCTTAAGGCACGACGAAGAGTATTTTCCAAGTTGCATGGTAACACAAAAAGCGCAAAACCGCATGCTTATAAATTATTATTTTTCTGATTCTATGCACAAACAAAGAACAAGAAATTGAGCAAGCAAAACAACTTACCTATTGTTAAAACTAGGCCACAGAGCAGGCGAGTTGCTGTGAAAGCAGTCATCACTACAAAAAGAATAATACGGTGTAAAAAGGTTAAAAGGTGTCTTCGAGGTTATTCCGGAAATTCATCGCTGTAAAAGATGCATGGGGATATATCAAGTTAAAGCGATCGGTCGATTTTTAATACTTAAATGTTCTTCGATGCTTAATTCGTAAAAAAAGGAGGAACGGAAGATTAGTGGAAACTGTTTTTTACGGGGTATTTCAAAGCTTGTGTCACAGTTATTCACAATAGCAAGTTTAAGTTGGCTGCATCTAATCCACGACGTTATGGCAGACAGGGTTATGGTATATTTCAGTAAAACTGCGCAGGTGGTCGTACTAAAATTAATGACAAGCACGCTGATACGTACTGATTACACTCAGGGACGTTTAAAACGAGTGAGGATTAGAGGGGTGATGTTATGTGGTTTTGACCTGATCATGAAATACCCAACGATTTTAGCCAAGGCTTTATTTGCTTATCTGCCATTTCAAAACAAGTTTAGTAGAACTTTAATTTTAATTCCGGCATTTTAATACTGCTATTTAGTACAAATTTCTAGGTGACTGTTGATTTTCTTGCGTTCTGATTGATCAAGATTCACTGTCTCTGAAGTTATAGTTACTGACCAGTGTCTATAGCTTTTTGTTGTTGTTTTTCAATTAAGAAATATGAACTAATTATAATGTTTTATGAAATTATGTTGATTATTATCTGTAAATACCTGGAAATTTATAAAATTTCAAGTGCCTAGTTTTTGTGAAACGGCCTTGTTCTAGCGTGGATAACCTTAAGTATTCAGAAATTATTCAGTACTTGTTGCATATTAATTTGACGAATTCACTCAAATTTAATGCTTTATATACAATATATATAACAAAGTATTTTGACCAAATTTATAGTAAATACAAAAGTGAAATTCAATTGATCTTTTGGCAACATGATTTACAAGAAAACAAAAATTGCATGAAACTTTATTTCCCTAACAAAGACTGCGCTATCTACAAACTATTCAAACTTGGCTGATAACATCCTGTAATGGGCGTTTGACGTCATTATTTTATTTGCAGGAGTATTTACATATACGTCCGGTCTCAGAGTGCATATAAAATATGGCAAGAATATGATAGTATTGCAAATCTCGTTCTAACTTGAGTATTAATTAAGGCCTAGTTTTATTTGGAGTAACTTTCTGCCTTAAAACCGTTTTTCATAATTTATATAGCTAGTTATATATGTTTGTAAACGCGTGCAGGATCAAAAACACAAGTATTCCTACTAAACGATTACAACTATATAAGGTGGCTAATGTCTGTGCAGCTGCTTTTCCGAATACACATAAATGAATGAGTGCAGACGGAGTATTACCGACATAGACACTTTTTAATGTTTTATTCTTTTATTGTAGTTTGCAGGTACCCAACGCTGAATTATACTCTGAGACCTATAGAATTACGGCTAAACAAACATCAACAACTACACTAAGCCTTATGTATTCTTCTTCAAAGAATAATTATAGTTTTTTCTGGCAAAATTTTTGAAATATTTTCATTTTACTGCGTTTCTGTATGATATACATTGTGTAATGATGTCATTTATGATGCGATAGCGATACTGCTTTAATTACAGACCAGACTATATAATTTTTCATGATATACAATTCGTTCGTCCAAAGTAAATTGCATGGGAGAAAATATAGTATATTGTGAACAGACTTTTATAAAAGGAGAGGTTATTGTAGATGTCAGTTTAGTTTACACTTCTCCGAGAGGCATTCTTTTATCCATGACAGTTCAGATACTGTTTCATTTCAATACTCCGACCAATCCGACCGCAATGTACATAGTACATACTATATGACTATGTGACAGGTTTGAAATCTCTGAGGGTCAATTTTTCGATCAAGTTTCTTGCTAAGCATTGCGTTATATAACTCAACAGCTGAGATAATTAAATCTACTGTTGATAATACTTTGTGTGTTAATATCAAGTTTATACTGATCATTTTTTAAAACCTTAGGTATCTCAGCACAATAATAATTACATTATCTGGAAATAGAGCGAATATAAAATATTACAGAGACCTACCTTCAACTCGTTTGCTTAACGAAATCACTTGTTTGAGTCGCGAACAGGAATGAGCTCTATAATTGCAGAATGTAAATAATATATCTTGTCAATTGTAGCTACATAGCGATTTAAATATTTTTCATAAGCCCCGCTGGGTCAATTCGAATTCTTTGAATAAATTTTACCCATCTCTGATCGCACTTGATTAATTATACCTGTTTGCTATAAAAATTACAGACGCAGCTTAGCATATAGACACTAGGCTTTTCCACGGCACGGCGCGAAATTCTTTTGGCGAAATCGTATGAAATTCGTTTGATGACGTGATGATGATGCCGGGAAAAGCCTAGCACGCAGATTTCATAACCAATTTGGCGGATGCAAGAGGGTAACAACATATCAATATTGCATCATGCAATGTTCAAATTTTTGCATACTTAAATGATACAAATAATCCGAGTAACGATTTAAAAGTTATACTAGAAATACATATATAAACACATATAAACATATATAAACATATATAAACATATATTAACATATATAAACATATATAAACATATATAAACATATATAAACATACATAAACATATATTAATATATATAATAATTTATTAACATATATAAACATCTATAAACATATATAATTATATATAATTATATATAAACATATATAATAATATATAAACATATATATAAACGCATATAAACGTATATAAACATAGCATCAAATGTGGTATAACAACTGCCAGACAAAACACTACTTGACGTTTCGACCTGATGGCCTTCGTCAGGCCTAGGAGAGTTAGTTGCTAAGTTGTTTGAAGACGCTGCCACGCTGCTCCTTGGTTATATATTGGAACATATATAAACATATGCTAAACATATATAAAAATTAAATAGATAAAAATATTGAGTTGAACCAAATACAACTGAATTTTAATGGTAGTTTGTCTTGCGCATCATTCGTCTGTTAGTAAAAAATATGCCAGGGAAGACGAAAAATTCGTCATGGAATGGCTTTTGTGCACTCTATTTGCCAAATAAAAAAATTCGAAATTCCCGTGCACCTATAGCTGATCCGCTTATATAGGTGCATGCATATCGCATAATAAATTTGAGCTCAACTAATCAGAGGGCAGAATTTTTTAATAATAAAGTAATCAGTTAAAAAGTGTGTTTAAGGTTTTAGCAAAAAAATGTTTGCGGGCGGCATGTGTGCTCCATGCAAAGTGCTGATCCATGCAACCAATTGGACTAAATTTTCCCCTTGACGCGAAAAAAACCCAATAGCATTTCAAAGGTCACGAGTAAGCAAAATGCACGAGCTAAATCGTATCACTTAGCAAATCAATGTGCTCAAAGACACAGATTGCTAAACTTAAAGCTATTATTCTTTAAGTAAAAAACATTCTCCCACTCCCCCACTCAAACATAAAAGCGACATTTGCCCCAGGCTATCTTGAAACCAGGAACGGGGAATCAAGAAACGGGGAAAGGGGAACAGGGAATGAGAATCTCCGGAATCTTTATAAGTCGGAATGAGAATCTTCGAAATCTTTAAAACCCGGAACGAGAATCTCCGGAATCCTTAAAACCCGAAATTAGAATCTCCGGAATCTTTAAAACCCAGAATGTGAACCTCCGGAATCTTTAAAACACGGAATGAGAATCTCCGGAATCTATAAAAACAGGAATGAGAATCTCCAGAATCTTCAAAACCCGGAATGCGAATTTCTAAATGCTTTAAAACCAGAAATGTGAACCTCCGGAATCTTTAAAACCCGGAATGAAAATTTCCGGAACCTTTAAAGCCCGGAACGAGAAACATGTAAACAGAAAGAACAATAAAATATATCCCGTTCTAAACAAGTTGTGTCATTCGATATCAATTTTTTTAGTATAAAAACAGTAAATTTTTGATAAAATGAGCATGTCTCTTGAATTCTGTCGTTGGGATTTTCCAGATTCGGTCTAAAACGTGAAATGATTATATATAAATAGCCATGCTACTATGCACGCAATTTTTTAAATCAATGTCAAGTCTAAAATATCAAGTTGAAAATCGAGCGTTATCGGAGTGCTTCTTATCCAGGCGAAATATTGGACTATTACCCAAGCCCTATTTTCTCTAACAAATGCCTTTTTCTTCGCCTCGTCGTAGTCCTTGTCCTCGCTGTCTAACCAATATATGAGATGGACATTGGAATACAGGACAAGTGGCAGAAAGCATTCAATACTATCGAGTTTTAAAATGAATACTTGTCCACATCCGTGGAAACACGTTACAATGCATGTGAACTGTCTTTTGTGTAGTCAGGTGCATCATATCTTCTGTGATTAAATCTGTTAAAAAGTAAGTTTTATCAAACCTAATATTACTATTATAATATTGAGAGTAGTTTGGAAAAGCTAGCATTCAGTTCTAGCTTATATATATTAAACTGAAAAACACTGAAACCCTTGCCCCCTCCTCTGCCCTATCATTTCAATGCCTAATGGTATATAGTAGCAGGTTTGACGGGTACTCTCAGTGTATTCATAAAAAGATTTGGTACATTTTTTCCACTAGTCGGATGCACATAGACAGTCCAATCTGATTTTAATCACACCACATTTAGACCAGAAAGTGGAAGTTTAACTAGATTTGAGCAGGTTTTCAACAAATGACAATAACCTTTCCTTAAAAGAAAGGCCTACCTATAACGATGCTAATTTAGCTTTTTTATTCAGCTCATACCATGGCCTTTGGTTAAAACACCAGCGCTTCATTTGTCACTTGCTTCAATTGTCACTTGCTATTTGTTTTCAGACCAGGTTGACAAGTCTTCACTTTGTTAGATATACGACATTTCAATTGTTATTTAGCTTAGGGTTTTTGAACTGTCACATTAATCAATTTGCATGGGTGTAAAGGGATTCAAATTTGTTTGAGGAATTTAGCTTCCTCAATTATATGTGTTAATTTTTTTACCACTAAAATATATTTTTAGGTGTCACAAAGAAATACTGAAATGATTTCTTTTGCTTTCATGCAGTGCAATATCATGTGCAAAATTTCATTGGGCTACATAAATTATGCTCATCAAGTGCAGCCCATTTGCACCTTAACACAATGGACTAGGTACTCGATTCAGGTTTTCAGTATCTACTTCATTGGTGCAACATGTACGTATGAACTGAAAACGAACAATTTTTCATCGAGCAAAGCAAATGAATCAGCTAGTTGTTGAGCAAACGATCATCCACAACGCCCTTTTCCCTGTAGGTATCCTTGGTATTTATTATTAGAGCGAAACTATATATATATATATATATATATATATATATATATATATATATATATATATATATATATATATATATATATATATATATATTATATATATATATATATATATATATATATATATATATATATATATATATATATATATATATATATATATAAGCGTACGTACGCTTTCTTTAATTATCGAGGATATGCTACTTTTATTATCAAATGCTATTTTATTTTATATTAATCTCGGAAACACTTGCAATGGTGCATCCGCGGAAACTTACTTTTCCTTATTCTATTAGTGTTAATATTAGTCTATACTTATAAAAACCCGTCAATGATCATGCACTTACAGTATTAAATTATTCTAAATATCATTATAAATAAAGTTATCCTCGCCACCTGGCGCTCTCCCTGACTCGTGATGATTTTCTTCAAGGTTTCTTGCATCTAGCTCGTACAGTGGATTGTCATGTGAAGGTACTAAATCGTTCTGATCTGATTCAGATTTTCGGTTTAGCCATCGCCGACGAGAACACACCGCAAGATATGCAATTGATGCACCAAAGATAATTGCAGCCACCGCAATTATTACAAATATATACCATTTGGTTCCATTTTTAGGCTCTTTGAATTTTTCTATTAATGAGATTGTTTTTGGTTAAATAACTCTGGCATTACACATTTTAATTTAGCCTGGGAATGTTTGGATTGCTCTAAACAGAAAATAGTAATACTGCAATAACTGCATGTTTTTCCTTTTAATAGCATTATATAAATTCGCACCAAATGTACCTGAATAGTTCAAAATAAATCCATTTCTTTGCTGAGTACCGTCCGTGTGAAATACGATCAATAATTCAGATCCAGATGATGTCAAGTTTCTTGGCAATTTGTTTCCACAATATCGCCCCAATTTCGTTCCTTGCGCAGAGTTGCCATCGTAAACGTCCAAATAATCATATCTACAATACCAGTCACTTTCCGTCTAAAATTATACAAATTTTAAGACGAAGAATCACCGTGTCTGAGTCCTATTCCAGATAATGTCATAATGTGCGTGGACCTTCCTATCATCAGCGACGAAAAATTGAACACCTGTCTATACCCCCGACTTGATCCTCAGAGAAAATACAAGAGGCGTAAAGTGAAATCAAGTTACATAGTACGGAGGTTTGTTAATCCTGGCTTCGTTTCTAAGTATACCGGGTGGCGCAAAGAAGGTTAACCTGTTTGATTGAGTATAATTTTAAAACTAAAACGTCTGTTACCAGGGGTGGATCCAGCACTTATGCACTAATTTGCATTACAAAAGAAATTGGCTATTTTGAGCAGTTTTCTTGTGTCATGCAAATTAGTGCTCTACCTATCAATTAGTGCTCTATCTATCCACCCCTGTCTGTAACACAGAAATAACCTGCTTTAGATTCGCGATTGTCTAACTTAAAATTTGATATATACCATGCGTATTTTGATACAATATGCCCCGATATATAAGCGTTTTACATTTAAAATGTATTTTTGAAAAGTACAAGAATTAGTCAAAAATTGTATATTAAATAAGAAAAAATAATGTTCTTTTTCAACATTTTTCACTGATGGTATGACCTCTTGAGCATTGTTAACCCTGGCATATTCTGTGAAGATTCAAACTCGCTGTTGTAGCTTTCGTTAAGCGAGACATATTAAGATAAGAACAAGCAGAATTCATGCGAAATTGTTAAATTTGTGGGCTACCGAACGAATTTCACCCCGCATGGGAGGACATTAAATATTTGGAACAAAGCCTAAACCAAAATAGCTAATTTTTGTTTCAACGCTTTTCCAACATGTCAACACAGAAAATATAAAACCTTATCTATCTTTCAAATGTTTCTAGTTAAACTTCATTGAAACAGACAGAATACGTGCCACAAAATACAAGGATTTGTCAACTCACTTTAATATGCCATTTTTAGCTAATTTTTACACTTTTCGAAAATGCGTACTTAATTGAAACCGCAATGACACGGTCAAAATTGCATGAAAAACTTTATGCTGCATATTGAAATTTAATTTAGACATCAGAGAATATGAAAAACATAATTTTAGTGTATTAGCTCTTTTAATTTTGTATTATTCACTAATCCTTCACTACTCCAATTCTGCAAACAAGGATGGATTTCATGGAAGGCCTCTAAAACAGCTTTTTGAGCTGATGTCTGTAATTTATCACCACAATACATGAAAAATTTTGCAAGAATTTTGGGGAAACGAAACCTACCGAGAAGAATAAGAACTGCAAAAGAATTTTTCCCCCATTTCTGCTGGAAACAATCCAGTTGCAGTCAATGTTGTTGGCGTATGGAGAGGGATAGCGAGGACTTCTTAGTTCACCAGGAGACTTCAGGTGTCTTCTACCGCAAGAACCTAGAAGGAAGTATGTCAAAGGGTGTAAAACTACGAGCTATCCTGTGTCAATGTATTTTCTCTTATTTCGAACCGATTCCATCGTCCGAGTTCATCTGAAGTAAAGGATTGCAATTAATCCATTAAAGTGATGCAGATACGTCAAATGTTGCCCTTGCAGCCTTCCCAAATACATAGACGGCGGTAGATCGTAAGAAAGGACAAAAATTCATATATTTATGTTAAGAGCCCGTAAAAACAATCAATTTGAAAATCGCTGAATGTGGATATCGCTGAATGTGGATGTATGAATATTAGTCCAGTCTCCCCGCCGCCTAATTAATAGGCTTCAAATTTTATATTATTCAGATTGTATCGATTGAGAAGCCTTTCTTATTTTATAGCTTACCAAAGGTGTCCAAGAATTTCAAAACAAACCCCTTTCTTCTCTGACTACCATCCGTGTGGAAAGCGATGAAGACTTTAGATCCAGATGATACCAGATTTATTGGTAATTTGTTACCACAATATCGCCCCAGTCTTACTGCATGCGCAGAATCACCATCATATACGTCCAAATAATCATGAGAACAACTCAAATAATTTTCTATCTAAAAGTGAAGCAATTTGATACGAATTTTAGAAGTTGGATATTTTGGGGGACAGGAAATATAGTCATTGTAATATTTTTTCCTCCAAACAGTCCCTAGATGCTTTGCGATTCCATAGGGAAATGGCTATTTGCTTTTTGATTCTCCTTTTGGTAAAATATAGGTATTCAATATTATTTATCGTGATACGTGGTACTTCCTTCCAAGTACCTTGAACGCTATGCTATATTTCTTATTTCAGGTTATTGCACAAAATATCTGCTTCGTGTCAAGGCAGTCGAATAAGGAAATCAGATAAAATTAAATAAAATATATTATACTATATATACAGTGACTGTAAAATACCTCAAAAACCATGAATTTTGACTAATCAGAATGCCAGGAAACAAAATAAATAATGGAAATACGATGTATGTTTTATGATGAAAAAATTATATTATCTGATATGAAACAAGATCAGCTTTGATACTTAAACAACACACATGACCTACCGAAAAAAAAGAAAACTGAAGCTTAATTTTTCCATTGCTGGTAGATACAATCCAGTTGCAGTCAATGTTATTGGGGTATACAGAGGGATAAAGAGGACTTTCAAGTTTAGCTGGAGAATGCAAGTGATTTCCCCGCATATACCTGTAAAAAGAATCAATAACAATAAGACATCATACACAAGGAAGATTTCGTCAAATTGAAAAATCACAAAACATTTCAGTTATTGCAGTTTTGTAAAAAACCCTGCATTAATCCGTCATACTCAGTATTGCACTATATTTTTTCAAATCCCAAGGAACCTTTAACCCGATGTAAATAATAATAAAGTAACATTTGCGTTGCTCTACGAGACGTTTTACTACCTACAGTAGGCATTTGTGAATGGGAAATATCTAGATCTGACCGCGTCTCGTCAATCTCTTGGAATAGATTTAAATAATTAGCATTAAGTTGTGTAAAAATCACGATGATTGTGGGAAGGAGCATATTCATACATGCATATTCTCCATGATTTTCAAATCATTTTTTCTTTAGAATCGTTGACATAAATATATGAACATGGGCCTCGGTCAATTTTCGACGTTTCCCAAGCCACTGATGTATATATTATACCGGCAGAATGTCTCAAAACAAAAACTATTGAAATCACCTATTGTTAAAATTTTGAATGACTTGCATGAACGCAAAAATTTTCTCGTGGAGATTAACGCAACTTATAAAATGCTAAATAGGCATACAAAAAGTTAAAAATTGAAAGAAAAGAAGGACATATTGAGGGCATTGTGCTTGAAGTTTAATTATTGTTATATATATTTGAAAAGTGTAATGGTAATAAAATTGTGGGTAGTATATAAACATATTTTACTGTCATTATATGCATAAACCTTACGAAAAAACCACAGGTGGAAAACACATGTTTCATCAAACAATATTTCAGCAAATTGTCTGCTAGCAGACACTGGCGTAGCCAGCATCGATAATTGGGGGGGTCCATATTCATATATTCATGTAAACAGACTGTAAAGACAATTGATTTGAAAAGAAATTAATCCTGCGTATCACGAATATATGAATATGGACCCCCCCCAATTATCGTTCTGGCTACGCCGCTGCTAGCAGAGAGGATTTGTCCAGGTAATTTCATTCTCTCATAAACCGTGCAGTGCCGTAGCCAGCTGGGCAATTTTGTCTTGCTATGCTAATAGTTTGGTATTCATTGACTGTGAAAACAATGAATTTCTAAGGAAATACATGAGAATAATAAACATGCAATTCCGGATTTGCTTGAGTGCACACAGAGCAATAGCTTAGAGACGAGGCAGGAAAATGTAATAATTATATTGTTTGTGGGATAGTTTTCATTCCCCGAGAACAAATTTGGGGAAGTGTCTATTATATAATGTATTATATGGGCTACCGTTTATTCACTTTGACGGAACTATCTAGAAGAAATTTAAACATTTAGTCATAATATTTTACCTTTTGTGGTTGAATACTTCAAAGAAAAACCATAACCCTGTTCATTTCGATCAGTGTGAAATACGATCAGTAATTTTGAACTAGATGATACCAGATTTCTTGGTAATTCTTCTCCACAAAAGCGCCCAAGTCTTGTTGCATTCGCTGAGTCACCGTCAAAAACATCCAAATAGTCATATTCACACATGTAACGACTTTCCAGCTAAAAGTAAGATAACTTCATAAAAATCATATTATAGAACACAGCCTTTTTCGATTTCTTTTAATTCCTTGCAAGAATAGAATTATTGTTTAATTTATCTTTTTCTTCTTCGGGTTTTTGACAAGTTATTGGTCTTATTTGTATCTGCAAAATTAATATTATTAAACCGTTTATGGGATTATAGCGTGATATTCTGAGGACGTGTTGCTATTTAGCTGCCACAATTGTTTTTATAATTATTATAGATATTTATTTGTTATGAAATTGTAACGAATTTTATTAAATATAGTCTACCGAGAAAAGCGAAAATTTCAGGAGAATGTTTTCTCCTTTGGTGGTAGAAACGATCCAGCTGCAGTCTATGTTGTCCGGGTAAAGGGAGGGATAGAAAGGGCTTTGAAGTGTACCAGGAGGGTGAAGATTTCTTTTCCCACAAATATCTGCAATGAAATACCGATAATTCAATACAATCGCACGCAAGCAAAAGTGGCGACTCGGTCTAAATGGTGTAATCACGGATGGCCTATATGGTAATTTACATTCAAAAATGCAACAACAATAATCAGTTATTTTGTACCCTTTATGTAATTACAAGAAATACTAGATTATACAATGAAAAGTTAACTAAATTAAAGGAAGATAAATGGGTACTTGTTTTCAAAGATAACCGTAGCTAAAAATGCCTGAAAGCTATTCGTGAACAAATGCTATATATTTCATTTTTATAATATTCCTAGCCATTTGGTTGAAATCCAGCAAGAATTATCGTTCCGAGTTGCTTCACAGCTTTCAATTACAGCTGTTAATTTTCGATGTGAAAGAAATATTAATCAAAGCAGTACCACTAAACGTGGTAGCAAATGTTGTGGCTCCATTATTTTTACGATTAGTATTTTACATCACCAACTGTCGAGAAATTTTTGTTCATATCTTACCATATGTGCTTGAAAATTTTAAAACAAATCCACTTTTCTGCACAGTACTGTCCGTATGAAAAACGATGAAAATGTTGGAGCCGGAGGATATCAGAATTCTTGGTATTCGGTCAAGGCAAAATCGACCCAATTTTGAAGCAACAGCGGAATCGCCGTCATAAACGTCCAAATAGTCATATTCGCAATCCTCTAGCTAAAAATGAAGGAAATTTGAGCCGTTATTATAAACTAAAACGCTAAACACAGAAGAAATTAACAAAAATATGTACATTCATTACTTAATTCCAGCAGAGTTAACTTGTTCAATTTTAATAAAATAAAAAGATATAGATAATATCGCTGCTATTTTGTCGTTTAAAGATCTGGTCGCGTATTGCGCTGACACGTCGCACATGATTGCAAAAGATTACGATTAAGCACTAACACTGCATGAACCATTAATTTAACAATCGTGAACACATTAAACATATTTCAAGGTAACTCACTGAAAAATTCAAAAACTTGAGGAGAATGGGCTTTCCCTTGGTGTCAGAAATTAACCATTCGCAGTCCATATTGTTTGGATAGAAATTAGGATAACCAGGACTTTTGAGTGTGCCAGGAGAATACAAGTGATGCTTTCCGCATGATTCTAAAACAAAATAATTTATTTAAGCAACGCGTTAGCAATCACATTCCGAGTTTTCAGATTTATCAACCGATTTTGAGGGCACCCAGACCTTTAGTTGTCTCGAGCGTACATGCATACCCACGCACTCAAAAAACTCTATGAACATTCGCGTTCATCTCGATGGGAATTGTGTTTACTGTCTTCCATATCCTTCCAAGTCGAACTCTAATTATTTTTAATTCAAAAAAATACGAAACGTTACCTTGAGTAGCGTTATCTGGAGAGGAAAAAAAAACATTTTATTAAAGCAAAGTAGACGATTGTCGAAGCGAGCCAAGAGTTTGAAGCGAGCGAGAAAGTTGTCTGTATATAAAATATAAATCAAATTTTCGTTAAATCGTTAAATCATTATTATAGTATTTTTTTGGAAAAGAAAGCAAATGAAATACAAAAAGTATTCTTTCTCTTTGGTAGGGATTTTTCCTTATTTTGTGTCTCGATGTCGATTTTTGCAGGTAGCAAGTTCGAACAAAGTAAAATTGTTTGAGACTTTAAGAAAATGTTTAGTGTATCATTTGACCAGGTTTAAATATATACAATTGTTTTTAATGTTGAAATATTTGGTTACTACACGACGAGGAAAAATGCAGCATATTCTTAGTTTGCATATAACGTCATAATCATGCAGTCATGAGGCGCCATCTTGGTTGATTCTACAAAGTTTATTTCTGCTTTTAAAAAGAACAAACTGCGTTGATTTACTTTCTCCTTGCTTATTTTGTAACTCCTTTTCATCTCTTTCGTATTATTGGGCGGTTATTAAATAAAATACAACAACGACGAAGAAATTATTTGTGTACCTGTTTTGAAAAATTAACCACCTAAATGCATGTTAATAGGCTCTTGCCTTAAAATTTTTGATAAAATAAAATCCCGTTTCCACAATATAAAGGAATTATTGGCATACCAATAAAGAATTTATTGCTTCCTGCACTTGAGACTTAAAGTAGATTAAACACTTTAGTTTGACGCGCGAGTAATTTCCCTGGAATTCTGATGACATATAGGTAACGCGTGGGAGAGCGGAGATGAGGGTCAGTATAGACAAAGAGCAGAATGTGCTGCCAATTCATTCTGCTCCTCGCTTCGACAAGGTCATTACAGATCGAATTTGAACCCGCCCTCCTCCACGTTTTCTCACGCGAGCTTAATGTAAAGGTATATTAGTATATTCGGTAGGGCGTTTAAATTAGCCCCACCTTTTCTGTGCAAATTTTTTTAGGAATTGAATTTATTGTTTTTTTTATTAATAATTAATTTGTTGTTAAGTAAAAATTAATAAATTGGCATGTGCGTTAGTCAGTTACGCAAATTGCCAAAATCATTCCAACTCTGTGTCATAGTTGTTTTTGTACGAGATCTAGAACACAGAAGGGAAGCAATAAAATGCATTTCGTCTTTTTGGCTCTTCCGCCTATATTATGTAATTACCACGCGGGCAGACATTGTCTGTGGCCAATTTGTTATCGCGCTAAAATTGCTGATTATATGCACAAATAGGTTTCTCGACTCTTAATGTTTTTGAGTGATTGTTTATTTTTCATCTGCAGATGAAAAAGCATGCTAAGAAAAGTCAATTATTTGAAGAAAAATCCTCTATGTTCGACATCGCAATATTCAGCGACTTTAGATATTTTCAATCATATGTTGAAGCCAAAATTAGAAATGCATAATTTTTACACGTCCTTGCGACAATTTATGTGTGAATCGGTTATACGCTACACATTTTTGCATGTCTTTACTTTTTGGCAAATTTCATAGAACTTATTATAATTATTCATTGTGTTATGATGGGAAATGAAAATTTACCATTTGTGTCATTGAAATTTAAAAAAAAGCCTTGTCTTCGTCCACTGCCATCCGTGTGAAACACAATGTGGAGTTCAGATCCAGATGATACCAATTTTTGTGGTAAATATGTTCCACAGTATTTTCCCAGCTTTCTGGCCGATGAGGATACGCCGTCATAAACTTCCAAATAATCATAGCCACATCCAGAATTCGTTTCCAGCTAAAAAAGCAATTTTATACATTACAGAAAACACCAGAAAAGACATACCCCACAAAAGTTGTTTTTAGGTGAAATATTGTATATCCATCACTCGAAATTCTGTTTATAGGATTATATTTATGACGGTATTCAGGGGACGACATTAATTTCAACGTGATAAAATAATTATAATTAGAGCAATTATATAAAAACGTTGTAACAAGATAAAAATATTGAACTAAAAATGACAGGTTTATCATTGGGAAATGTAATAAAACAACGATAAAGTTGAACCTACCGAGAAAGTCAAAAACTGGAGACGTATATGCTTCCCGTTAGTGCTTGATATTGTCCATGCACAGTCAATATCGTTTGGGTATAAATAAGGATATCCAGGACTTTTAAGTATTCCTGGGGTGTATAACAAACTTCTTCCGCAGGAAACTAGAAAAATAGGGCAATAACATTTGAGGCTTATTAAGATAGGTTTTAAATTGTTTCAGTTACATTTCTTTAATAAGTCGTTTTCGTCAGGAAATAGGTTTAAGCCTATACACATTGGCTGCAATCGACAAATTTTCCTACTCATTCAGAATCGCCGCAATTTTATGTAAAATCAGGATCAGTGGCGGAAATTCAGTTCTGGAGGTGGAAAGTGAAGGGATGGAGTCCAAATTCGTGACATCTTTTTTAAATATTCTCTTAGTTTTGACATATTTATTTTTCATTTGTTCTTTTTCGTCGATTTTGAGAAAAACTATATCTACACGCCATACAATGTCTGAGAATCCCTTACGGCAAAGCATATGAATGCCTTCATTTTAAGCAAAATGTCATGAATCCTTTTATTCACTTTGTTTCAAAAATCGATATCCAAGGAGAATTGGGATCATTGGAGGCTCTCCAGCCCATCCAAGGACATATATGAGAATAGCAAGCATATTAAAAGAAAATAACTTAAAGATAAACAGGTTTGCGTGACTAAGAATGTCGTTGCCTCACGCTCCACCACTTTTTTCTTGCTGCACTTTCAATTCTTGTTAAAATTCGGCAGTATTTAGCAGTGGCGTAGCCAGCCTGACGATTTAGTCATGCTATGCAAATTTTATGTTATTATCATTATTCATTTCTTTAGAAATTCATTGTTTTCACAATTAATGATCACCAAATATTAGCATAGCATGACTAAATTGTCGGGCTGGCTACGCCCCAGATATTTAGGCTAATTAGAAGCAATGAAAATTTTCATAAGTTATCACTTTTTGAAAAATCAGCCATCATCGGGCGTGTCTTGTCTTGATAAGTATGGTGATTGAAGATTTCCAAGTCTTTATTCAGGGAATCGATTAACTTTGCTTGCAATGTGGCAAAAAAGGTTTTATATATATATATATATATATAAATATAAAATATATATATATATATATATATATATATATATATATATATATATAAGACCTCCTAGAGCAAAACAGCGTAATATACAGGGTGTATAGAAAGCACTGTAACCCTAATAATTCCTAGGGGCCTACGATTTTTTGTTATTGAATAGAAGCGAACATATTATGAATATTGCTGGGGTTTTTAAATACCCTGCAGTACCTGGTATAGATGTCGTCGACGGCGTCGACAAAAAAGGAGCGGCGGTGGCTGAAAAAAATGTAAATTTTAATGTTATTCTAATGTTGAGTTTAGGCTCGCAGGGATATACAACCAGGATTATTTACCATAGTAACCCCATTTGTTAAGTTTCTAATCAAACCATTACCACAGTAACCTTTATACACGTTTGCAGTCAAGTGAAATGGAACCTCTTTTCTCCTCTGGAAAGTTGTGGTACATAAAACCATTTTACGACCTATATCCGAACTATAGTCGCGCTCTTTAAATATATCAGGGCATAGGTCCGCACGATAGTTGGAGAAAGATTTTCGCGTTTAAAATCTCTAATGTCCAAGTTTGATAGTCAATTGTATTTAAAACAAGTTGTACCCTTGAGGTCAAGATCGTGCTCATGAGCCTGATGAACCCCAGATTAGACTTGCACTATTAATGACTGCTTAAAATTAAATATACAGATGCTTGCGATAAATTGCATATTATATCGGTATGAACAAAAAATTGTGCATTGTGATTTTATACCCGTGCATTTTATTATGCGATATGAACATTTTACCATTTGTGTCATAGAAGTTTAGAACAAATCCTTGTCTTCGTCCGCTAACATCCGAGTGAAATATAATATGGAGTTTAGATCCAGATGATATTAATTGACCCGGAGAATATTTTCCGCAATATTTTCCCAGCTTTCTCGACCACGAGTACATGCCGTCATAAATCTCCAAATAATCATAGTCACATGCAGAATCATATTCCAGCTGAAAAAAAGATTAATTTCTTAATAAATCACATTATAGAATATTAGACGCGACATATCGCAGAAAAATAAGTCGTGCATTCATTAGGTGCCGCGCACCAGTTTTTAATGCATAATAATAATTAATATTAAGTATAATTTTCGAGGTGACTATTGATTTTCCTAAATTTTGATTGCTCAAGATTCGTGGATTCTGAAGTGATAGTCACCGGTCAGTTGCTGTGGCTTTTGTTGTCGCTTTTCAAATAAGAAGTTTGAAGTAATTAAAAAAATTTATGAAATTGTATTGATTTTTTTTGGAAACACCTCGAAATTTATGCCAAAACATTTAGTTGCCTCAGGCTTGATGAGTGATTACAAGCCTATAATTACTTCGCCTTCGACTGAGAGAATATATGCTTGTAGTGACCTCACATTCGGAGGCTAATTGTTAAATAGTAACCATTGGTACTTAAATTATCCATAACTCGAAAATTATAAAATATATTAAAATTATGGGTTAATTCTACTATTTCTAACCAATAATTTCGCCGGAAACCTTATCAAGTCACAAAAAACAACAAAATAACAATTTCAAAGAGATGAGAATGTTTATTATGATTATGAAATCTAATTAAACAATGGTAAAGATGACCTACCGAGAAACTCGAAAACTGGAGAAGAATACGGTTTCCGTAAATGCTTGAAATTGTCCATGCACAGTTCATGTCGTTTGGGTAAAAATCAGGATATCCAGGACTTTTGAGGGTTCCCGGAGTGTACAACAAACTTCGTCCGCAGGAAACTGGAAAAATATTTATTAAGATCAGGCCTTACGCAAATTACGATATGAAAAAAAAATGGCTAACACATTGGTTCTAATCAGTGAAAATTCATCCTAATATTAATTAAGACTGAGCGGCGGTTTTATGTAAAACTAAGATCATTAATAATGAGTCTGCTGTATACGTACTAGTAGGAAATCGGACGCTTGTCGGACCTTATGTTTCTAGCTGTTTTTGTATATGTTACAATGTCCGAGCTATATATAGCTAGATCCTAGCTGTTGCTCTAGTGCGAACAGAACCTGCATTGTTATTTTTTTTTCCTTTCCGATGGTGTACTACTTACGTTGGACGTTGGTGCCTTAGAGCAAAACAACCTAAGGTAATATCTTATACCTGGAACAGACGTCACCGAAGGCGTGGACAAAAAAGGAACGGCTGTAGCTGAAAAAAAAGGAATTATTTTATTGCTCAGCTTTTTCAACTAGTGCTACTAAAATTATTGCTTTATACGGAGAAGAATTTTTAAAGCTAACCGTCTCATCTGAAATCATGGCGTCATGGGATATCACGACAAGAGCAAGTTATCATGACTTTCGCGCTTCAGGCGCGGAATTTAATTTCAGTATGCAATTGATTAAGAGATAAATAGAAACTTTTCTATACAAAAAGATAGATTATTCTGATTATGTATTTTTTTTCTTAAGACCTACTTATTTATTAATATAAAATCTTCGTGCATTGGCCTAAATCTTCTCACGCGATTGGTCAAAATCAATCACCTGGTGTCTTCTTGCCTGGCGACAGATCATGGGAATCATAGTTTCGCAAATTACCCATTAAAATCATGATTTATTCAAAAATGGCAGCCTGCAGCAAAACTAGCTGTTCTTCAATGCAGCAATCAATGAACTCAGATTGTGTGAGCTTCATGTTCGTGTTTTGTTTGCAAATCATGAACCCACTTTCCGACTATACAATGAAATCGGAATTTCAATATTGAAATTTCTCGTTTATTGTGCGTTCATTTGTGAACAAAACACTCACAACAGTCTCTAACCATTAAAAAATAACTTACTATTTCTGCTTGAAAACTTTATAACAAATCCACGTTTCCGCACACTACTGTCCGTGTGAAATACGACGAAGACATTGGAACCAGATGATACTTGATTTCTTGGTAATACCTCTCCACAGAATCGCCCTAGTCTTGTTGCATTTGCAGAGACGCCGTCATAAATGTCCAAGTAATCATATTGACAACTTTCTAGCTGAAAATGAAGTATTTTAAAAACGAGTCATATTCTCAGTTATAGGTCATTCATTCAGTTATTTCGCCTAGGGTAAGGGTCAGTATATAGTCAATAGAATAATTCCTAAAAATTAAAACAACAACGATCTACGTATTTTGTTGTCAAAAACAATTAATATAAAGCATTTTTATGATTATACAAAGGAAAGAATATTTTGATTCGATAAAATCCTGATAGGAAAATTGTTACCATTGAATTGATAAACATTAATTATTGGTAAATATCATGGAACGCCAATAACTGACAATGTAAGTAAAACTAACCGAAAAAAACGTGAACTGCAGAAAAATGTGTTTTCCATTGTTGCTAGAAACAGTCCAATTGCAGTCGACATTGTTTGGGTATAAAGAGGGATAAAGAGGACTTTTCAGTGTTTCAGGAGTATAGAGTTGTCCTTTCCCGCATGCACCTGCAAGGGAAGAAATATTTACTAAACAATACTCGGGAAAGATAATCGAGGTGAAATAGCCAATACATGATCATTACGAATCTCTTTAAATTAGAATTGGACAACATGTAATGCGTGTAAATAAGGGCCCTGTGGCCTTTACTAACGCCGGGCATCAGTCAGTGGATACTTAGTGCATCTATTTGTGCCGTTATAAAAATAACAGAATATTGAAGAATTAAAAAACGAGGTCCTCTCGTATTCTTTGAACATTCCCGCGTATGAATCGTTATAAAGGCACGAGTTGAGCTTCTTTAATTTTTTAGAGATTACAGGGTCAATTTGATCAATAATAAATTCTCTCTACATGTTTTTCAAAATGTTGCCTAGCAACATTTGCATTTTCAGGTGCCCTGTGTGCTTTATTAACCACGTCAGTCGGTATAAATTTAACGCCAGCGTACATCCATTTGTCCTTTTAAAGTAGTCTAATACAAAAGCATTAGGGTTTAACCAGCAATTGAGAAAAAATTGAGAAAAACACTCCATAAAGACTTCTTAATCCAACTTTGATGGGGTTTGATGTGAAAATTACAAAAAGAAATCGATGATTCAATTATTTTTTATTTGGGTTTTATCCCGAGCATTAACTTGCTTATTCTATTGTTTCATTGTTCCATTGTATTATTATTCGGTAGAATAAGTAAACAATTGTATTTGTGATAAAATGAATTAAACGTGGTCTTATACCCAAGCTAAGTTACTCTGAGTGAAAAAAGCCTTGTAGGAATCGTTAATCACTATAGGTACCCGGATCACACACACCCAATGGTGGAAAATAGATCGGATTTTCGTAAACACGACAACAAACTGGGTTTTAACTCTGGAGCGAAGGAATTGTATTGTTTTTTCTAAATGTTTTTGCTTCGGAACTGTACTAGAATAAATAAAACTTTTCCAGTTTGAAACGTTTTGCAGGGCTATAAATATGAAACCTCTATACAATAACCAGTGGCTATTTTATTTAGACTGAACGAAATTGAAAACTTTTAGTTCCCTTCCGTGCCAATTGTCTTTAAAGTCAACCATGAAAATTTTATCAAACTGATTGTGTTACTTTTTGAGTTATTATGCAAAATTCATTTGAAAAGGTGGGAAATGAACTTTGGTAGTGTACTAATCCAATGCTTTTCCAGCCCAGTAACTAATGCAAAACGATAATTGGGTGCGGGATATATTAGTACTGCGCGTTGGATTTCTCTTATAATTAGTTCCTATTAATCCCCCTCCCCGATTATCGTTCTAGTTTCGACCCTGAACCCAATATATTATGTTTTCTAGCATCACGATAAGCTGTATATTAAGATAAATGACAATCAAAGATTTTCGTGAACTTGAAATCCATGCCACTAAATTTCTCAAATTTTGTGATGCAAAACCCTCGACAATTATCTCCATTGAGCGAGATGCCTAAAGTATTACACAAGATCACTTACTTAAAACCGATGCTGAGCAACAGAGAAATAGGGTCACCTTGTACAGAATCATCCCTAAGAATGTGAATGCAAATAAGATCAAAATAAGATAGAGCAAGTATACATAATTATAAAGAGAATGAAATGTAGTGGCATCCAGGAACAAGTAAATTAAATCGACTGCGATTACAATTGTCTGGTAAATTCAAAAAGGGCTAGCTTTTATCTGACGCGTTTGGTTTACTATAACCATCATAATAAAATTATTCTCCGGCTGGCTTTGCTACTGAGACCGTTTCAACAGAATGGGACTTTCTATCATTCCCAAGGCTGCGAGGATTGCCAGGTATCGTTAATCGTTGTAATTGCCAGAATATAGGGTAACGTTTTCAAATGATATGTCATTCACGTTGGATGCTTTTGTTAGCTATTCGCAAGATTTCAATGAGGGAAAACAGGTATAATCAGAAACCTTCATCAACCATCAGAAATCAGAATCAGAAAGCACAACGTTTGTGTTTAACGTCAACAGCTACTCAAGCTTTTTTAAAACTGTTTCATAATTTCTATACAATACAAACTGTAGAAAATTTTCGCTTTCCACGGAGGGAATGCTGTCAACGCAAAACTTTGACAACTCATATAATTATAACAGCTCGTATTAATCTTTATCTGCGAAATGAATTCCCCGCATTCTTTAGGCTATATCATTCATGAAATGTTTATCATCGGAAGGCAAATAAGGCCATATAATAGACGGAAAGTTATTCGTTAGATTATTATGTGTCAGTTCAATCTTTAATGTGACATCCATGATTTATGGCCAGAAGAATTAGTATTGTCAAACTCAAACAGTAATTTACATCAACAAATAGACTGTAACTTACATCAAATAGATTTTGAATGTTGTGAAATTTGATACATTCACTAATACGTCTAATACTTATTTGCCGAAATATTTTACCCTCAACTGTTAGTTTAACGAAATCATGCATAAACTAATTTACCGGGTTTCTTATGCTCTGTTCACAGGATAAAAATTATTTCCTATTTTTCCAATCTTTCATAATATTCCTATCTTTATACCAAATTTAACTCCTTTGTTTTACCTACACGCGTATAACAGAGCGTAATTTCTATCTTTAATTAAAAAAATCGAACCTTGTGATGGTTGGTCAGAGTTAGAATCCCTTGCTTTTTGTTTTACCTATTTGCTGGTAAAATCTGTGATTCTAAGGGCCGGGTTTTTAAGGATTTTTCATTCTCAGATTTAGCTACTTCCGTGATATAATAGTTGTTGCGTTTCCTTGGTTTCAGACAAGTTTTCAAAAAAAAAAGGTTTCCGCACATTCAACATGCGTATACAGCTTCCTCTCGGCTCTCTTTTGCAATTTCTGACCGCTTTTGCTCGGAAATGTATAATTTTCACGACTTGTCCACATTCCTCTTCGGTTAATATCTTTTATATCTATGTATTTATGTACGCAGCGTATCAATCGCAGCTCTCAAAGTTGTATTCAAAATCGCAAGACGAAATACTTGACATTGATTGCAATCGAATCGGGTCTATCCAGCCGTTTCATTATGTGCGTCATCGTGCTGTAGATATTATTTAGGCTGGTTTCTTTTGTAGTTTTTGTTCCCTCCTCCATTCGCATTAGCGTACTGATGTTTGAATTGTCATTTAATGCTTACGTAGCGTTCCAGTGTCTTAATTATATCCCTTATTTGACTTATTTAATAGCCATATAGTGGAATGATACATGAACACATGCATGCTTGTTCTGAAAGTCCAGTGGGCCGCACTTGATTTTTTTGCTAAAATTCTCGCGAAAAATAGCAAG